GTCGTACTGCTGACTGCAGAGGGGTGTGACAGCAGTAAGGTGTTTCCCTCGGACAACCAGCATCTTCAGCGATGCTGCCTTCTCACAAGGAAGGAAGGGTTAGAAAAGGTCGGCCCTAAAAATGTCACACCTCCCCTACCTCACGGATTTCCGTCTCCTTGGGTAAGGGTGCCCACTAAGGGCCTTCAAGAACGGAGCTAATCCTCTAAATACCTCTCATAAAAAGGCCGTGCGTGACCGGCCTGAAGCAGTTGTCCCTTGGACTCTGCGGTCACGCACCAACACTAATCCATCTTCCTTTTCAGGTTCGTCAAGAAACAACCTTCCACGGTGTGGGCAGCCGGGAAGTGATAACCGCCCTCATACCCGCAACAGCACACGAGACAAAATTGTTCAAAATCAAATCCTTCCTACATTCCCTAATACCTCTCTTATCTCCACAACTAACTCTTCTCACATTCATTTATTACAGTGCACAGCTAATGCAAACGATGCGAGTTTGCGAAACGTCGTTCCTGGTCTCCTTAAACCCCGTTCCAAACTACATGTTGGAGCATTCAATGTACGGACATTGTGTCAAACAGGGCAACAGGCATCATTAGCTAGGACTCTAGAATCTCGTTCCATCGATGTGTGCTGCGTCTCGGAAACGCGCATACAGGATCCGGGTAGCATCACTCATTTGACCTCACCATGTCAAGATAAAGAAGCAGCTCGATTTACCCTTCGTGTATCCGGTAGCCCTGATGCTGCTTCTAGGGGCCTCGCCGGTGTAGGTATAGCGTTGAGTCGTAGGGCAGAACATTCTCTCCTCGACTGGATCCCTGTAGATAGTCGCTTGTGCGCCGTCCGACTGAACGGGACAGTAAGGACTCGGAAAGATAGGGACACTCGCCGTTGCCTCTTCGTCATATCAGCCTACGCCCCCACTGACTGCAGCCCAGATGATGTAAAAGATGAGTTTTACAGAAAGCTTTCGGACCTGGTGACTTCAATGCACAAGTAGGTAGACTAAGTGAAAATGAAAGACACCTAGGTGGATGTTACGGTCTCGCGGCTCAAAGAACAGACAATGGCGACCGTCTGTTGCAACTGTGCTCAGATAACCAACTATTTCTAGCAAACACTAATTTTAAGCATAAGGAAAAACACCTTTTGACCTGGCGACCCCCGAAGTCGTCTCAACGTTGGACACAACTAGATCATATCGCCATCAGCCACCGATGGAGGGGTTCGATAGAGGACTGTCGCTCGTTCTGGGGCACATGTTTAGATTCAGATCATGCTCTAGTGCGAGCACGTATTTGTTTGAGGCTTGCTGGACGTAGGAAAGACACCGTAAGGAAACCTCTTAGGGCTTTACTTGATGATAATCAAGCTAAGAAAATATTTCAGGAGGAACTAGAAAAACAGTTGGGCGATCATGCAAGTGATTCCCATCCGGAGTCAGGTTGGAATGATATAAAGAAGGCTGTGGAAACAGCAGTGATATCTGCTAGCAAGGTAAACCATAAGGCTAGGATGAAGCAGTGGATTTCAGTCGCATCCACCGAACTGATGGATGCTCGAAAACGCATCCCACCTGACTCTGAACATGATGAAGAGCGTAGTCAGCTTAGGTGCAGACTTATAAAAAGCCTACGTAACGACCGTGAACAGTGGTGGGTGGCGAAAGCAAAAGCGATGGAAAAGGCAGCGGCGATAGGCAACACTAGACAACTTTTCCGCCTTATCAAAGAAACCGGTATTAGGAACCCGAATGTAAGTGAGACTATCTCGGAAAAGGATGGTCTTATTATCCATTCTCAATCTAGGAGGCTGGACCGATGGGCAGAACACTTTAGGGATCAGTTCAACTGGCCTTCAGCCACTCTTCGGTTGCCCACGATCTCCAGTCATCCTGAATGGCAAATCGATTTAAGTCCTCCCAGTTTACATGAAGTTGAGAAAGCTATAGGAAATCTAAGGAGAGGTAGAGCGGCAGGTCCTGATAGGCTTACCCCTGAGATGTTTAAGGATGGTGGTCCAGTTTTAACGGTTAGACTGACCGAGATCCTAGGTAGAATCTGGGAAATGGACGTAATCCCATCTGACTGGTCTCAGTCGCTAATTGTCCCAATCTAAAAGAAAGGACAGAAGTCCTCTTGTGACAATCACAGGGGAATAAGTTTAACTAATATAGTTTCTAAATTGTTAGCCTCGATTATACTTAGACGTCTAACTAGAGCTCGCGAAGAGCAGACTCGAGAAAACCAGGCTGGTTTTCGACCTGGACATGGTTGTATAGACCACATCTTCACACTACGACAGGTCCTGGAACACAGACACACATTTAGACGTCCGACAATAGTCGTGTTCCTGGACCTTAAGGCGGCATTCGACTCAGTGGATCGTGAGGTTCTGTGGCAGTGTCTGTCATTGAAAGGTGTACCAAAGAAGTACATTAACCTTATACAAGCACTCTACTCGAACACCACTGGGAGGGTGAGAGCATATGGCGAACTGTCACCGGAATTCTTCACTTCAAGTGGTGTCCGTCAGGGCTGTCCACTCTCTCCATTCTTGTTTAACTTTGTCGTAGACATCCTCTTAGAGTTAACATTAAGCTCGTCAGATTTTTCAGGGGTTGACCTTCTACCAGGTGGCTCGCTTATTGACTTAGAATATGCCGATGACATAGCCCTACTTGATGAAGCTGACAAAATGTAGAGTCTTCTGACTACCATAAGCAACAATGTGAGCATGTTCGGGATGCGGTTCTCACCCTCGAAATGCAAAATGTTGCTTCAAGACTGGGTTGCTTCGGCACCTGAACTAGTGATAGGGAGTGAAGTAGTCGAGCGTGTAGATCACTTCACTTATCTTGGGAGTCTCATCAGTGCTGACGGTCTGGTGACTGACGAAATCTCAGCTCGGATACAGAAGTCTCGATTGGCTTTTGCGAACCTGCGTCACTTATGGCGTAGGCGAGATATCCGTTCGCTAACCAAGGGGCGGGTGTACTGCGCAGCAGTTCGTTCCGTTCTCTTATATGGCTTTGAAACATGGCCGTTAAGAGTAGAAGATGTTCGTAGGTTACTAGTATTCGATCATAGATGTTTAAGAAGCATTGCTCGTATATCGTGGGACAGCCGAGTAAGCAATGCTGTCGTTAGGAAACGAGTACTAGGCAAGGATGGCAGATCAATCGATGAAGTGGTGAAACTTCATCAGTTGAGGTGGTTGGGACATGTGTTACGTATGCCTAACCACCGACTGCCTCGACGAACTTTGTTTTGTGGTGTAGGAGTAGGTTGGAAGAAAGCTAGGGGCGGCCAGACCAAAACATGGCAGAAATCCATGAAGTCATTGACAAGTGGACTGAGTCATGTCGGTAGATGTAGACTACCTGGTTGGGGTCCGCGAGACGAAAGTCATCAATCGTTAGAGACCTTGAATGACTTGGATCAAAATCATTTGCAATGGCTCAGGTGCATCCACTCTTTGAGCTCTCTCAAATCCTAATCTTCTGGATTAGCCAGCACCTCTACCTTTGTCTTTCTAACCTTATCTCACTGAGTTATATTTTTTGAATAATATCTTAAACCCTAGTCTTCTTTATTATAACATTAATACCTCTACTATCTTTATCACTATGGGATTTGATTTGACATTTGTGTCTCTGTGCTAATAATGTGGTATGGCAACATGAACTTATGTACATTCGTACGAAGTTCTACGTTGCAACTGACTGACTCTGCGTTGTAGTTAACAATGATCATTTACTTGATGTGTTGGTTATGATAATTTCGTGATTTGTACACAGATTTACCGATGAATTAACATCAGATAAGAAATTATCGAATCATACAAACTAAATGTCACTTTAATGAATAACCATTGTTTCATATGTTAAGACAGAATAATCGACCTTCATGTATGAGTAATGTTTCTTATTTTCGAATTCAGTCAAAAAAAGAGTCTATGTAGATTCTTCCTATTCTGAGTGAATCCTAAATGTTTTAACTTCCGTTAATAATTGGTCTTGATTTGTGTATCAGTGAAAGCTCTCAAACTAAAACAGAAGAGGTTATCTACTGTGGCCTAACTGACAAAGTTCCATTATGAATTCTTCCATCAGAATTTGCCCCATTCTATTTCGTAATCAATAAATCATTCTCCAATCACTTTCACCGAAATCAAAGATAATTATATATCTCTTCTATACGACATCAGATTATCCGTTAGGTTATACACTAGTAAGCAATTTTATTATCAAGTTATCAGATGGTTACATTCAAATATTGAGTTAAAGAAATCGGAAAATGTTTAAAATGTTAATAAATAATTCAAGCCATTTAGACTCTATCCTGGCAGTTGGAATGTTGTCTTTTAAGAAGAGTTACGCCTAAGTTACGCTATCATCTTCATCATTGTAGTAATGAGACAGCCGTGAAATAGATGATATTTTTCAATAACCATCTCATTGTACAAAATCAATAATTACGTGTATTTCGTGTTAGAGATTGTGTATTTCACGCATTGATTAATTGAAATGATTTTTAGTAAACGGAATGCTTCTATACCAATACTGTAATTATTATCTCCAGAATGTATCTTTCATTATTATTTTAATTACTATGACTATAATAATAATAATAATAATAATTATTATTATTATTATTATTATTATTATTATCATTATCTTCATTATTGATTTTTATTAGATTTAATGAATCCATCGTGTTAAAATTTCACTGTTCTGTGATCAACCAATCTTTACTGTTCATTCTCTGTGCATAATAATTTTCTATCTATTAATGAAACCACAATAATTTCACATAGAAATTTTTGAAGAAATGTTACTAAAAACGAACGTCCAGTGAAACTTTAAGGTCATCGTCTCTCATCTAAATTAGTTATGATATAAATAAAAAAAAAAGAATTTTTCAATCTTTATTCAGTTTGTTAAAGAGTAGTACTCTTTGAATTTTCTATTCTCCTCTATACTATTAATTATTATGGAAGAGAAGAAAGCTGTAGTGAAAAGTACTGATATGCCACCAGATGTTCAACAATTCGCTGTTGATACAGCTGATATGGCTATGAAGAAACATCAAATTGAAAAGGATATGGCAAGTTTTATTAAGAAGGAATTTGATAAAGCTTATGGTCCTACATGGCATTGTATTGTTGGTAGAAACTTTGGAAGGTATGTATGTATAGTAAATCATTTTAATAACTTTTATTGTTATTATTATTATTTTTACTATAATGTTGACGTACAATAAGTCGTTGAGTGATTCTATGTAAGATTTGTGAATGATGTGATAGTTTAATCTGATCATTTGATCTGACACACTGCTTTATCAGTTGTTGAAATGGAAGGCAATGAATCGCGAGGATTCATTGTTAATTGGTCATGCATTAGTCAACTTGAAGAACGATAATCATAGGAATATTATGAAGTTGAATTGCGTAAAAGGCTAAAACATATAATTTTTTGTCTACTTCAATTTTAGTTATATCACACATGAAGTCAATTCTTTCATCTACTTCTATTTGGATTCTTATGCAGTACTCCTTTTCAAATCTGGTTAACTAGCTGATTACATCCAGGATGAGGTGAACGAATCAGAAACTTTAACACACCATTATTTTTATGTACAATAAATAAACTTATTTTGAATAAGGATCGTTTTGTCTTATTATTATTTGTGATAATGATTATTATTATTATTTTTAATCCGTCCTATGAACGAAGGCATTACATTGGTGAAACAGTTTATACAATCGATCACTGTTCTGTTTACTGACAGAGGATATGTTACGTTATTGTTCGATTGGTAGTATAAGCACTTAAATATGTAGGTCTGTATTGTTAGGACACAACGTTTATGAATGTTTACTACGATTCAACTAATTTTATTGCGGATATTGTAGTTTATTTTTGTGTTCTAATGAATTTGTGTGCAACTTACCAGTGTAGTTATGCTGATGAAACAATTAGTCCAAAATATTACCAAGTAATGTTGATTCCAGCTGCGTTAGGTTTTTCAAATGTATATACAGTGATTATTTTCGATATGTCCATTCGTAAGACGATCCATATATTGTTGAATCGTTTGTAAGTCAGTGTTCATCTGTATCAAACATTCCAAAGAGTAGAACATTCTTCGTTAGGCAGAGTTCCTAATCATCGATAAATAACCGATTAGAAATACAGAATGGTAGGATGTTTAAAGATCATGAATCAATTAAACGGAATCTTGAAATCTGTAGGTTATTCGATATATGGAATATGTTAGCCCATGTTTTACAGAATAATTCAATAAGAATGAATATACTTTCGATTCACGAAATTCTACTGCTGATATGGTGCGAAAAGTTTGTCTACTATGCATTCTTCTGTGTAGTGCCTCTAGTTTCTAAGAATTGCCGCTGAGATTAGTGTCAGAAGTGAGCTTAATTGAGAATTTTAGGAGATGTACAGTTGTATACAACTAATCTATAGAATTATAATTTTGAAAAGTTCTGAATCAATCATTTTAAAATGTGCGAAAATCGTGATTTAAAATGGTTTGAATAAAAAAAGAATTTGTAGTTGTTGTAAACGTACTTATTCACTTACTCAAGCTTATTCCTCGGATTCTGTGAAAAGCGTACTGATGATTGACATGATAGGACGATTGGACAAGTTAGTATAAGCATTGATATACATTTCACGAATGACCTTATCAATTAAGGATTCATTCACATATTGGGATGTCTACCATTTTGAAATAGTCCTATCATTCTAATAGCCTACATTAGTTCAGTTTTCTCGACTCAGACTTAAATTTCTAAAATCATTTGATTATTCTTATTCTTTTTATATGCTTGGTGTTTAAATATATGAAGGATACATATCCTTAATACTTGATTAACAATAAACTGAAGTGAACAGTTTGTTATTTTCTCAATCGTTGTTCGGCAAACTGGTGAACACCCAGGTGAATATTAATAACCATCGTTTTTATTCTACAAAAACAATGTACAGATTTCTGAGTTATCCAACATTTACTTTTCCATTCTTATACCCCAACCATCGAAGAAACCAAATAATCCCAGTCCTTATACACGATAAAGATTTCCTGGTCATTATGAGTACTTTCATAAAGTGGCCAGCAGTTTAGGCTGTGTGCACTTTTACTAGAAGAAGCTAACGAACTTATTTAGCTGTTCCTAGTTTCCGGAAACCTTGATGATGAATAGTGGAACACATAATTCATATAGTCGGCATTTAAGTTATTTTGTAATTAAACTGAAAGTATGCACCCACGATCACCAACATATTTTCCATAGTTCAAGGGCAAACCGAAAGATTCATAGATCTATTTTTAAAACACTTTTAGTAAATAAATTTTTGATTATCTATTGAGCTTCTACTTATCCCATTGTATCAGAACGGAAGTCTCTGGTATTTTCAATTTACGACTTGTAGTTCCACAGTTTCAAGTGTATGACGGATTGGTCTTGATCAAGTGACAAAAATAGAAATAGCCTCTTTTCTACTTTTCATCTATTAACGGACAGATTATCTGATGTAGAATATTTTATTAAATGAAATGAATGAATAGCAACTGGTGAAGACCAGAAAGGAGGGACTAGGAGATAGTTGGTTGGAGAATGCTGGTCAGTGGCCCATGCTCCACTAGGGGTAACAGGCGTAAGGATGTAATTAATTATTTTATTCAATGTTGTATATTTAAAAATGCTTGACATGGGATCTATAGACGATAGATTTCTAGGTGAGCAGGTGCCATCCGAACCTCCGTCGATCTGTTTCATTGTGGAAGTCTAGATTGCATCTTAACCATTCGTTACATTCATCCTTCAGCAAATGTTCAACTAGCTTAGTGGTATATTGTGTCATTGGATAGTACCTATGTAAAACCGAGAGTAAAAAGTTCACTAGGAATAGTAATTCATTGTATATATACTTAATTATGATATGAGTCATTGACAGCTCCTAATGACATTGATGTAAGATTCAGATAAGTCAATAATCAAAACACAGAAATCGATAGAGCAAGTAAGGTTTGTGTGTGTGTGTGTGTGTGTGTGTATGCATAACCTTCACAAAAATAATGACTATGCATTATAAAGTAAATACACTACATAACAAATGAATCAAAAATTAAAGAATGCTTGTATTTTTTTCTGTGTTTAATCAATAACTGAGCTACAATGCTTTCCATACTAGGATGCTTTTGCTTTTATGACTCTGTTTGAATGATTATTGTTTATCGTTATAAAATGCACAAATATGTGTTGTGTGACCTTAAGTAGAATTAATTTCACTTTTTTATTTCACACATAAATCACCATTATCAGTATAAAATTAATTTAAAGTACAAATTGTGTATCAATAGACCATATTAAGAAATATTGAGATAACTTTAGCATAACTCTATGTTTAGATGGTTTAATTTTAAAATTGACTAGAGAAAATTTTGAGTAGTTCACTGAATCATCCATGTATCAAATTGTACATACAAAGCTAATCATAAGATTTATGTATGGATAAGTAATTTTAATGCTGAAAACTTGAATGAATCATTGATAGAACACCATTAGAAACTTGGAAGCACTGGATAGCCATTTCGGCTTGGTATAGGACTCATCAGCAGTGTGCATGCACGAATCCCACTACTCTAAAGATTCGAACACCTAACCTCCGGATCACTGAACCGGGATCAAACAGTGTTATTGCCTACCTCTGATCAAGCTAAGGATTTGGTGCAACCTAACTCATTATCTTCGGTAGTTACTACCAATGACCGACAACTTTGAACTCCACTGGTCACATTAAGCTGCGCAAAAAACCTTAGATTGATCAGAGTGGTCTAGGGGGTTATGGGTTCACGCATAAGAAGGAAGGTCTTAGGTTCGAATCCAAAGAGTAGCATTAGTCATGAATGGGCATTGTTGATGAGTCCCATATCAGGACAAAACAGCCATCTAGTGCTTTCAAGTTTCTAATGGTAGTCTAACAAAGATTAAATTACAATCTAAAATAGAAAATCAGTTTGTTTTAAATAGTAATAATGACAAAAAACATTAATATTTGAATTTTCATATCAACGATTACAAGGTTCAATTTGAAAATGTATCACCGATAATTGCTACAATTTACTTTCGAACTGGTAATAATTGTAAAATTATTTTTTTCAAATAAAAGAGATAATTTTATGAGGGTCACGTAGAAATCAGCTGAGATACAATGATAAGTCATTTATTCCATCCTTACAAATTATGTACAAACTATTCTAAAATTTATTTTTTATGAGAATGTAACAGTCAGATAAAGCAAAAATGATTGTGACTTTTGAATTTTTGCTTGTAAGAAATTAATGTTTTCTTACATAGTTATGATAGAAATAGTTACATTTAAATAATTTAGTATAGTTTTACTATCATGTAAATAAGAGTTGTTTTCTTATAGCTGGAATTTATTCATCTCAAAATGTCTTATTTAAGAATAATTCTAACATGGAATACTATCAGTTACTGAGAAGTTGGAGGTAGTGGTTAAGTTTAATTGTCTAAGATGGATGTTGTGCTTGTGGAGCTTTCATCCTCCTTTGAAACAATCTAACCAAAAGTGCAAACAGCGACAGATTTAAGGTCAATAATAACCCATGAAGATTGAGATCAACGAAACAAGCTACAAGTAATATGTAGAGAAATTCGAATACTTCACTTCTACCTGAAGTGTTTGTTCTGATGATGTTGTTCAGAAGAACAATGAATGCTTTAGAACCAAAACATCCAGCTGAGAGAACAGAAATCCATCACATTCATCCACCTGAGCTACAAATTTTCTCCATCATCTCGAAGATGGAGACAGGTAGAGACTTCGAACCTAGTTTCATCCTCAATCGATACTCGTCAGCGGCCTCTATCTATAAATTTCGGGCAACCTATAACCGCTGTCCGATTCAAACCCTCATTATCCGTTTCCATAGTTTGAAAAACTAACCCTAAACTATTTAGGCAGAAACTTACTACTTGGAAAATCGGTACTGACAGTTGATTGACCACGTGAATAAAACTAATATCAGGTTAGTAGGGTATTTGGTGCATGTATGCCAACTAGTTCAAAATCCAGGTCGATGATTTCTTGTAGAGTTCCCCTAATCATCTAACATCAAAACAGTGTACACAAAATTAAATCACTTAGACTATTGGTCACGTTGATCAACACTAAATGGCTCACTGATCAGTCAGTGTTAATAAGCAATATTTAGGTTGTTCCATGTATCATCTCGTCACTTCTTACAAGCAATTAACTGTAACAGGATGTGAAAACTATTGAATTATGATTCATCTTCTGAATATTATCACCAGTGCTTTCAGTTCTGAAAGAGGTTCGGGTCCGTTTCTCAAACTGGTTGATCATTGAATGAGTCCACATCTGAATGAAACATTTATTTAATGCTGCCTACTTTTTACTCATGATTATTTAGGTGATATGAGTTCGTGATAAAAATTATTTTCAAAATCACATAATTTTTAAAAGACAAGAAACAAAATTCTTTTCTTTGAAGGTATTTTCAAATATCATCAGTATTGAAAATATATATATATATATATATATATATATATATATATTTCAGGGAATAATCCATAGCAGTGTGAAATATCTGTATCATAAAACTGGTTAATACTTAACTTTGAGATGAAAATATTTTCAACTTGACTGTGATGTTGTATGAAGATGGCTATAGATAGTCCTGTTGCCTGATACAATGAAAGGAGAATGTTACTAATTTTGCAATGATAATACTGGAAGTGGAATATTGGTTAAGTATTTTACAACTACTGGATTATGAAGACGTCAGCATCTGGAGGGAAGCACGGTATCCAATGGACAGTCAGAATGCAGATGGACGATTCGGGCTTCACAGATGATCTGGCCATTCTATCGCACACGCATCAACAAATTCAAGAGAAGACAACCAGTGTAGCAGCAGCCTCTGAAGCAGCAGTAGGTCTCAACATACATAAAGGGAAAAGTAAGATTCTACGATACAACACAACATGAGTCAACCAAATCACTCTTGATGGAGATGCCTTGGAGGACGTTAACACCTTTACATATCTTGACAGCATCATCGACGAGAAAGGTGGATCCGATGCAGATGTGAGGGCGCGGATTGGCAAAGCAAGGGCTGCATTTTTACAGTTGAAAAATATCTCGAACTCCAAACAACTTTCAACCAAAACCAAAATCAGAATTTTCAATACAAATGTCAAGACAGTCCTACTGTATGAAGCACCTAACTGCGTCACGAGACAAGCCCTTACATGGAACCCTCAAGGCCAAAGGAAAAGAGGAAGGCCAAGGAACAAATTACGCCAAGAAATAGAGAAAGATATGAGAGGAATGAACAAACATTGGACAGGACTTGAGAGGGAAGCCCAGGACAGAGTTGGTTGGAGAAAACTGGTGGGCGGCCTATGCTCCATTGGGGGTAACAGGTGTAAGTAAGTAAGTAAGTATTTTACAAAAATAGTGAAACTTATATTCTCTCTTTAAACTTCAAGAAAATTTCTTTCGTAACGATTAATTTGTCAGAGAATTCGTTGTATAAAAATGCAAAATAACGTAAACAATGCTGGATCAGGCGAGAATGTGTATAGATGAAAGTCATCTGAAACTATTTCAACTAAAGTTTTTCAATAGTAGATTAAATAAAGTTTTATCCCGTAGAACCCAAGTAGTATATTTTTAGATTTCTTTTAAATTCAGATCACTAACTTTAATAACTTCATAGGTTGATATCGCGACTTTCTTTGGTTTTTTGATCGGGTATCATTCTTTCCAGTCTGTTGGTACTTGTTCTTCATCCCAAATCTTGTTGAACAGAATGCGGAGTTTTTTTGCAGCTGTTGCCATATCTATTTTCATTGCTTCTGCTGGAATGTTATCTGGTCCTGATGCTTTGCTGCTATTGATATATCTGATAGCCATACTGATCTCTTCAATTGTTGGTGGGTCAAGATCGATTGGGAGGTCCGTGGATGATGCTTCGATGTTGGATGGGTTCATACGTAGCTGATAGATCCAGGAGTACCTTAAAATGCTCTACCTACCAGTTCTTCTGTTCTTCAGTGTTGCTGATTACTTTACCTTCCTTGCTTTTCACTGGTCAGTCTGGTTTATGATAGTTTCTAGCGAGCTTCTTTATCATATAGTTCAATTGTTTCAGGTTTCCATTTCTCGCAGCTTTTTCGGCTGTCATTGCCAGATGTTCCACATACTTACGTTTGTTGGCTATGATGCTCCACTTTACTTGTTTGTTACCTTAATAAATGATGTCTCATAATTTTAACAATCCACCTACTAATGGTATCCAACTTTTTAAAGGTTTGTATACATAATTTGCTGGAAGTATTTTACAAGACGTAAATCACCAGAATTAGGATTGTTTTCTATTAGCACAACTCTCTAAAATCAAATCCTAATTAAGAATGAATTGATTTCCCCTAATGTAGCAAGATTTTTCGATCAACAGTTTTTATCTTATAAATATTTAAAGATTCCCATTGTGAAAATTAGAACAACACATATAAGCGAACAATATTGTTGTTTTCGATTAGATCGTCATCAGGCTTTACTCTAATATACATGAATATTTATATGAAAATGTTAAACCAATCAAGGCAATTCATGAGTGATAATCACAATGAAATGAAAAAGGCAAAAGTACAAGTGGATGCGCACTGCTGAGGAGTCCCATACTAGGACGAAACGGCCGTCCAGTGCTTCCAGGTTTCTAATGGTGGTCTAACAATGATGATTGATTAACGATTTCAAATGTGTAAAAACGCAAACCTCCAAAACTGTGCCCCAATATAATGTAACAGTGCTCACTAGTGACTAGCTTCGTGAGGAAATTCTCGGAGTTCTAGTTGAGAAGACGTGACCAGTGGAGTTCAACCCTGTCGGGTGTAGGCAGTAACTACCAAAGACAAATGGGTGAGGTCGCGCAAAATCCCTAGATCAATCAGAGTTAGACATTAACACCGTTGGATGCCGGCCCAGTGGTCCGATGGTAAGGCGTTCGCCTACAATGCCAAAGGTCCCGGGTTCGAATCCTGCGAGGAGCAGGAGTCGTGGATGCGCACTGCTGAGGAGTCCCATACTAGGACGAAACGGCCGTCCAGTGCTTCCAGGTTTCTAATGGTGGTCTAACAATGATGATTGATTAATGATTTCAAATGTGTAAAAGTACAAGTGGATAGTAGAAGATAGGTGAACCGATAGTAGTAGGAAAATTTATAAAATATGATAACTGAAGTAGGTCAAAGGTGGATGAATAGAATTCAAATAATCATCAAAAAACATAAAAAACATTACGTAATAAGTAGATGTGTAAAAATAATAAAAATAATAAAATTACAATAAATAAAATATATATAATGTCAATCGTTAGTTACGTCATATCCGGCCACGGAAGAGATAGGGGTGTCACGAATTTCTTCTGAACACATAAATTAGGGTTGAATGTGCGTATTCCTATGGCTTCTGCAATGTGTAGGAGACGGGATCGAACTCCGTTGGGAAATGATGGAGGTATACGATAGATCACCCGAAAAGATCTAGATTTATCTACAATGTGACCACTATCTTCCAGGTGTGCTAAGATAGAACTGCGTATTGTTTTTGACTGACCCTTTGTAAACCATGCTGGGAGATGTTCACTCATTCGTTGTGTAAGTTGCCTGGAAGTACGCCCGATATAGCTATCTCCACAGGAGCAGCTGAATTTGTAAATGCACATAGAGGAGGCCAACTCAGGTAACTTATCCTTCATTTGGGTAGACATCTCTGGTCGACTGGAGAAAGTCAATGCAAGTTTGGCAGCGTTGAATGTTCTACTAATTACTCTTATTAATCTGTCCTGCAGAGTATCGCAGGCCACATCCCCGTTGAATTGTAACTTTATAAATAAAGGTTTCTTTTGGGCGGTCGAAACTACCGACTTCTTTTTTTACGGCAGACATATACTTCTTTATGAATGCGCTGGGATAACCAATCTCGGTTAGTGAGTCGTTGATGAATTCCAGCTCCTGACTTAAGGTCTCCACTGAACAAATCATATTTGCTCTTTTCATATAAATATTCATGTATATTAGAGTAAAGCCTGATGACGATCTAATCGAAAACAATATTGTTCGCTTATATGTGTTGTTATAAATATTTCTTGGCAAGACTTAAAGAGTGTTTCACTTCAGAATTCTGTGCGACAGCTTATCTTTATAAATTACCTACTTACTTTCATAATATACACAAACAGAGCAAACCAAGCTTTACATTTCTACATTATTCATTTAACATTCAAATCACACAAAACAAAGTAGACAAATTCTCAGACATAAGTTGTATTTATTAACAGTTTTTTTTTTTAAAAAATAGTTTATATCATATGTATATAAAAAATGCAGTTCAAAAACACTTCACGCTAATTCTGTCTACTTCAATATAAAGTTTAACATAAAAATTCATTCATCTCTTCTTTAATTAGTGTTTTCTGATCTAAATAGAAGAATTGATTTTCGTCCCAATAAAAAGTAAATCAATCCAGTATCCACATGACTAACATTACTGAAAAGAAAATATATATAGTTAAACAATAAACTTCATGTTAATGCATTCATCATTGAGAAGATATTCATGTTTGTTCTCATATACATAACAAGTAGAAAAATCATCAGAATTATTGTGTAAGATCACAGTTTACACTGACTTATAATTAAGTAGATCACACGCAACGAATGATTTCATTCTATTTAAAAAACTTGGGTAAATGTCAGTAATAAAGTTTAATTGTATCGGGGTATGAGGCAGAGTTGCTCATCGAAGACAATGGATGAGGTCGTGCAATTTTGTGGATCGACTGAAGTTAGACATTACCATCATTAGGTGTTGGCTCAGCGGTCTAGAGGTTAAGTGTTCACTCACGAAACTGAAGGTGCTTATGTTACAAAATGTGATGAAACAAGCATAGAATGTCGATTGTTTTGTTACATGAAAAATTCTAATGATACTGTAGAAACAATAATGTGGTAATATAAATTTTGTCATTAAAGGGTTATGGAGACAATAGAGTTTCATTGAAACCATGCAGCGTTCTAAGTTAGATCATCAGTAACAACCTGGAAGTACTGAACCGCTGTTTCGTCTTAGTATAGAGTTCCTCAGTAGTACGCGTAGACGACTTTATACTCTGAAACCGAGCTCAGCATCTGTAGTCTCATACACGAACGATTCTCGCCTAGACAATCGTGGATATGCACTACTGAGCAATTCCATACACGAATGAAACGGCCTTCCTGTGCTTTCAGGTTGGTTTTCATTAGTGATCTAACTTACATAGATTCATCGTTTCTATGAGATTACAACAATTGTAGCTGAACAGAGTAAGTGAACACCAACGACTTACTCAATGTGACGATTTACTTATTGCTTCAAATAAATGCAAGTACTCCCTAATAAAAAGTTCACAAAAGATTACACTACCGAAAATAAAAGTATTGATGAGTGCATATCCAAATATATATTTGCCTTTACCTCAATCAAAATTTCGATGGTTTTTGTTGGAAAAGCAGACAGTAATTTTTCAACCACTGGCTGATAATGATAACATATACTGTCTGAATATAGATATTATACTACTCTTTCCGATGAATACGTTAACTGAAGTCATAAACACCTCAAAAAAAAACACCATCCCCTTCATAATGCCCCTCATTTACAATAATGAAACTGTTCTATCTTTGTTTAGGTTGTTCAAAATATCACTGGAAATCATCAGAAGTCAAACTCTCCATGATTTTGTTTGAATAATCTACATAATCTACATTCTCTGGTTTATTTTATCCCAGATGAATTTAAAATTAGAAACTCAAGAGATCACACACTTTCATTCCTTGTTATTATGAATAAATTCGGTTTATAATGGTCCGATCTGTTTATCTTCTTCATAATATCGATACTCTGACTAAAACACATATTTTTCTCTCAAAAAAATGTATAAAATGTTGATCACTAATCATAACATAGAGCATCGAATATAAAAACAGTGAATTTCATTATGACTTTTCCCTAGTGCCATTAAGATTAATTGCGGCTTAGTTTGCTTATTTATTCCATAAGCCATGTACTTTAGATAGAAAGTACATTAAACAACAGTTTAAACTGATTGTCGATCAATCATACATAAAAGTCGAATAAACTGATCAAAAAATTCATATGATTAAAAGCTTCCTAGTGTAGAAAATTTGTAGCTCAGGTGGATGGATGATTATGGTGATGTTTCGCTCTCTGAACTGACTGTTATGGTTGTAAAGCTTTCATTGTTCTTCTGAACAATAACATCATTAGCACAAACGTCAAATAGAAGTGACCAGTCAAGATCGAGGTTAACAGAACAAGCTACAAGTCATACGTAGAGAAATTCGAATACTTCACTACTATCTGAAGTGTTTGTGCTTACGATATTATTCAGAAGAACAATGAAACCTCCACAACTAAAACATCCAGCTTAGAGAACGAAACATTACCACAAACTTCCTAGAATTTATTCACTAAAACAAAATGAAATTCAAATAGTTTTTACCTTCCAAAACTACCTCCAACAATACAATGCCATGTACGTCCATATTTTTGATTGAATTCTTTACGTAAATAAGCAGCTATATCTTTATCATGTCGACATGTAAGCATTGCTTTTAAACATTGTTTCACTGCATCATCTTGCATATTAGCTGGAAGATTACTAGTTTTTACAATAGCTCTATTCATTGTTGTCATAATAATAGTTATAATAAAATGAATAAAGAGTAACAAAATTATGGTAAATGAACTGTTTCTCTAAACAGAATTGATAGCCATCTACTCATCTGTATTTATATATATATATAGGTACATGTACATGTTTTATAATAGTCGTTATACAATGTTGGTACAAATTAGCCCATTTGACCTAATATAAATGAACACATGAGTAGTAAAATATAATTTTTTTTAAAAAAAGAGAAAACTAGGCAATCACATGTTTTACTAAGTACCTACATGATTCATTTAAATATCTGAGTTTTCTTTTTTTATTTTCAGTAATGATCAACATTTTTCATTATCTTAAGTTTAATTTCACATTCATATAATCTATCAGGTAGATGATAATTAATGGTTAGTATTTAATGTACAATAGATAATAGAATATAGTTAACTGTTCATTATCAGTTTAGCTGTAAAGGAAACATTTATAACCTAAGTCATATTAAGATGGGTTGAATAACTTTTTCTGGTTAGAGTCTTTGTAGCGAGTTAGTTTCCTACAGGATGGGGTCATCAAACCCATGTCCAACAGACAGACAAGACGTAGAATTTCTTACGTATATACATCATTTCAGGTTGCCATACCGCATCAGCACAGAGACGCAACTGTCAGTTCAAATCCTATAGTGATAGAGATAGTAGAAGTATGAGCAGTAATGGAGAAGATTAGGGTTTCAAGATATTATTGAAAAAGTATAATTCAGTGAGATAAGTTTATAAGGCGAAAGAGAGAGATGATGAGGAATTCAGGAGGTTAGAATTTGGGAGAACACAAAGAGTGGATGCACCTGCGCTATTGCAAACGATTCCGAGACATGTCATTCAAGGTCTCTAACCATAGGTGACTTACGTCTCGCGGACCCCATCCAGGTAGCCTACATCTACCAACATGACTCAGTCCACCTGTCACTGACCTCACGGATTTCTGCCATGTTTTGTTTGGCCGCCTATAGCTTTCTTCCAGTCTTCGCTTAAACCACAAAACATAGCTCATCGAGGGAGTCGGTGGTTAGGCATTCATTACACATGACCCATGTCCAACCTTCCATCTTTATCCGAGCTTGGGACCGGATGCGACCACATAGGGGGCTCTAAGTGGAGTTTTAGAAACCTGGAAACACTGGACAGCCGATCCGTCATGGTGTGTAACTCATCAGCAGTACATATACATAACTACTGCTACTTGCTGGATTCAAAGCCAGGACCTTTCATCTTGAGCAAGAACGCCTAACCTCTGGATCACTGGGCTGGTATATGATGGATTAAACTGCAAAATCGTGCGTCCAGAACAGCTCACAGACTAATTCGAGGTGAAGACCGGTGTCAGGCAAGGTTGCTTACTCTCACTCTTTCTCCTGGTGACTGACTGGATTATGAAGACGACAACATCTGAGGCGAAGTATGGTATCCAGTGGACAGCTCGGATGCAGATGGACGATTTGGGCTTCACAGATGATCTGGCCATTCTATCGCACACACAACAATAAATGCAAGAGAAGACGACCAGTGTAGCAGCAGCCTCTAGCAGCAGTAGGTCTCAAAATACATAAAGGAAAAATTAAGATTCTGCGATACAGCACAACATGAGTCAACCAAATCACTCTTGATGGAGATTATTTGGAAGACGTTAACACCTTTACATATCTAGGCAGCATCATTGTCGAGCAAGAAAGATCTGATGCAGATGTAAAGGCAGGGATCGGCAAAGCAAGGACTGCATTTCGACAATCGAACACCATCTGGAACTCCAAACAGCTATCAACAAACACCAAAATCAGAATTTTCAATACAAATGTCAAGACAATTCTGCTTTGTAAGGAGGAAACTTGGAGAACCAGAAGATACAGGTGTTTATTAACAGTTGCCTTCGCTAAATACTTCGGATCCGTTAGTTAGACACCATCAGCAACAACTTACTGTGGGACAGAACAAACTAGATTGCTGCTGTGGAAGAAATCAGGGAGAAATGCTGGAAGTGTGTAGGACACACATTGCGAAAATCATCCGAATGCATCACAAGACAAACCCTCACTTAGAACCCTCATGGTCAAAGGAAAAGAGAAAGGCCAAGGAACACGTAACACCTGGAATTAGAGCCAGACTGGAAAAGAATGAGCAACAGTTTGGTTGAATAGGAAATCCATGCTCAGGACGGAATAGTTTGGAGATCACTAATCGGTGGCCTATCCTCCATTGAGGATAACGGGCTCAAGTAAGTAAGCATATTGAAATGAATTTTGAAATCAAACATACTAATTACCTGTTACTCATTATTAAGCATTGTTAGTCATGGTGGAAATCAACCTGTCATCTCTGCGAATATAGCACTATCAACAATGAGTTTATCTCGATAAATAAGTCATTTTCAAATATCAAGGTAAAGCATTTCTAAACTATCATTGACAAACATTTCAAATTTACAAATATTTTGTAAAAATAGTAAGCAGTACATGAATACTTGATGACAATTTAAATGAAAAACATGATATTTAATTTAAAATTTTTAGCTCAGGTGAATGATTATGGTCAAGTTTCATTCTCTGAATTGGATGGCTGGTTTGGTTTTAGAGTTATCATTGATCTTCAAGTAGAAGTCTAATAACACAATTTATCCGGCTTCATAGGATCCATGATATGGTTAACCAGTAGAGTTGGAATATATTTGATTATATTTTTAAATCTAGATTATTTCAAACATTGTACAGTAATCAGTCAGTATATCAGCAACTGTTTAATTTTCAACATTGGTAATAGCGGCGAAAATTTATGTTGAGATTAATCATTGATAATGTAGATTTCTCATTTTTTTTTCTTTGCAAAGTAATATTATTGATACAACGAGGTACTTAACTATTAATGAGCCACACAAATAATCGAATTAGTGAGTCAGTTGGAATACTGTCCCTCTGTCAAAACCGAAGTAGGTGGTTTTCTTAGGTGGCCGCTGCCGGAGCCTTTGACCTACTAGTCTAATCCACAAGGCAGTGGAGAAATGTCAAAAGATACAGTCTCATAGTAGCCAGTGGTTAACAACAGGTTCATACAACATTTGTTCAATCAGCATCCTAGAGCCTATGTACACTACTGGTTTGGCGTCGGGATTCTCCCCTAGGTGAATCGTTAACGCATACCAACCCGGTTTAAACCCTGACCAGACTATTGCTATTGCTTCTCAATTTCCTAAACGATTCGTGTCACGAGAACGTATTGAGTAAAAAATTGCCTGGTAGTGGCTGTACACATGTGACCATGTAAGATCATATCTTGAGGGACAGCTGACTCTCTTCACTTTCAGCAGTACTAGTGCATTTGGACGTCTTCAGTTTAAAAACATTGTACCGTTTAAACACAAGCATTAATCTAACATAAAATAAAGCTTTGACCTTGGAAGATACAGAAAATAAAACCATATAATTCTTTTTCAAATAGGGGTTTTTAATTAACATAGCCTCTATGCTTAATAGATTCAACAATAAATGCCCAATATTTAGCATTGACAAAATCCAAGTACATCCAGTTGACGAAACAATCTTCCTGGATTCCATTGCTAACAACCATCTATCTTTGCTTCTGACGATTTTGACTAAATGAAAGTATCGACGCAATCCGCTTAGAATACAACACTGTCCAAATAGACTGACTGATTACAGTTGTAAACATCAATGAAACGATTGAAATGTTTGATTGTTTAACAACATTTTATTATCATACTTCATTACAATTTCATCCATTATCCTTTTTTTTCACATCAATTTAAAGAAATTAAATTTCACAGAGTTGTCCGTTAATTAGAGTAAACCATTTGAACTATGTAGCATGTTAGTTAATGTTATATGTTCATTGAAATTTCTGAAATCATGCGCTCTATACCATGTGTACTACTATTATTTCATTATCTTTAATTATGTCAACACATGATGTCTGTGTACAAAAATTCTCTTCCGGTATGTGAATATTTTGTTAATAGATAATTTTAATACAGTATAATTATAAGACAATCAGTTAATTAAAAAAGGTGAGAATAAGTTTAATGACAAGAATGCAACTAATTCATGGTGTATTTCATTGCTGAGTTATTTGAAATTCGGAAAAAAAGTAAATTGTTCAATAATGAAGAATAAGGAGTTACAGAATGAAAATACATTCATTAGACAATGAAATCTTTTGTTTGTTGAGTTACTTTTTGAAATGATGAATCAATCAATCTTAGACCACCATTAGAAACCTGGAAGCACTGAACGGCCGTCTCGTCCTGGTATCAGACTTATCAGCATTGTGCATCCATAACTCCTGCTACTCGCAGGATGTGAACCCAAGATCTTCAGTCTTTCTGACGAATGCCTAACTTCAGAGCAAGTGAGCTGGCATGGAACGGTGTTAATGTTTATCTTCGATCAATCCACGGGCTTGCGCAATCTCATCTACTGTCTTCGGTGAGCACTGATTCACACCCGAACAGGGTTAAACTCCAATGGTCACTAGAACTAGGAGAAACGTCCTCATCGAGTTGGTCACTTTCTCATGATATAATGATTTTTTATTAGAAAAAAATATCCTTATTATGCTAAATATTGTGAATAACTTGATTAAGAAGTATCATGTACGGAGAGGCTTGTAGTAGTAGTATCAGTAGTTTGCATTTATCTCAAAATACAGAGTTAATTGGTAAAATAGGAAAACCATATCGTAAATTGTAAATTTGCAAAATATCAATCCATCATATCGAAATGGTCTGTTCCTGTTGCAAACATCAATCCATTGTCTGACATTTCACTATTCATGCATTTCATACAAATTCCATTGTGTTTCCACTCTTCCTTCCTTGATTTTCCCTCATCTTCTGCTGCCAGACATTACGTTTTCACTCGCGTCATATACTACTTATGAGTAGCGCGCACCACAGTAGTAGTAGTAGTAGTATCAGTAGTAGTAGTACTAGTAGTAGTGTAGTGAACGAGAACACAGGTGGGGCAACCGAATTGTATTTAACGAAAATTACAGAGTTACTCAGTAAAATCGGAAAACCATATCGCAAATCGTTCATTTGCAAAAGATCAGTTCATCCTATGGAACTGAACTGTTCCTGTTGCCAAACATCAATCCATTGTCACTATTCATGCGTTTCATACAAATTCCATTGTGTTCTAACTCCTCTTCCTTTCTTGATCTTCCCCCATCTTCTGCTGCCAGACATTACATTGACACTCACGCCATATACTACTTATAAGTAGCTCACACCACAGTAGTAGTATTAGTAGTACTAGTAGCAGTAGTGATGGTAGTAGTAAATAATTTTGTATATGAATAGTTTTTGCAATCAATCTAACAATGATCTCATTCCAATGTTTAAATAGTAATGACTGTCATTGTGAATATTAAGAACAACACATACATATATGAATAAATGCTTAATTATTGTTGTTTTCAGTTAGGTAGCCACCAAGTTTTACTCTAAGATATGTGAATATTGATATGAAAATATGAAACTAATCACGGTAGTGTTTCAGTCAGTCATCACAACTGAAATGAAGTAGATTACGTCACTACACAAAATATGTAAAAGTACAAGTTGATAGTAGAAAGACACGATCATTATTAGTAGTAAGGATAAAATAGAAATAATCAAAAGTTTTTATTGATAATTAAACTTGGATAAGTAGATAACATTATTACAATTACGTAATGAATACGAAATGAATACGTAATTAGATAGGCAAGAATATGAACGGAAAGAGCTGAAAAACATGACCAACTAACGTAGGATGTGAAAATAATACCAATAATACAACTACTACTAATAATAAAATTGTTTATGAAGTTATGATGTTTTTGGTTAGAGTTATGGAGATCAGTGTTTTTACACATTGAAATCACCAATCAATTATTGTTGGACTGGCATAAGAAACCTGGAATCACTGGACGGCTGTTTCGTCCTGGTATGGGACTCATCAACAGTGTGCATCAACGATTGCTGCTACTCGCAGGATTCGAACCAAGAACCTTCGGACTTGCGTGCCAACGCCTAACCTCTGGACTATTATATCCGACCAAAGAATGGACAGGGTTGTCATGAATTTCTTCTGAACATATAAATCGGAGCTGTTGTTTCGGATTCCTAAAGCTGATGTATATTGGAAACAAGACTGAACCCTGTTGGGTAATGATCAATGTATACGATAAGTCACTCGAAATGATTCATTTATATCTACATTACGACCACCATCAATTAGGTATGTCAAGACAAAGCTATGTATTGTTTATATCTCGACCTTTCCAAACCATACTGGGATATGTTCACTCATTCGTCGGTTACGTTGCCTTATATTATGCCCAATATGGTTATCTCCTCAGGAGCACTTGAATTTATAAGTACACATCAAGGAGGCTAATTCAAGTAATTATTTCTTTGTTTGAGTAGATATCATTAATTTTTAAAATAGACTACAGTCCTGTTTCGATATTCAAATCAACAACTTGATTACGTACATCAAGAAAAAAAACATGAGTTCAATAACAAAGCTTTCCTGATGACTTTCTTCACTGGATTAAACTTCTTGAATAATATCTTTAAACCCTAATCTTCTTTAATATCGCTAATACTTCTACTACATCTACCACTATGGGATCTGAATTGTGTTAGGATATTCATCCAATATCCTAAGAGAACTATTGGCTAATTCTTATTGCTTAATTCCTACTGGTCAATTTTATGATCGTTCTAGATATCAATATCATGTTCTTCAATGTTGTTTCTTATTGGTCTTCCTGATTATCAATGTCACTTCAAGTTTAGCTTCCTATTGGTCTCCTTAACTGTCAATGTCACTGACTTCGATGCTGTTTCCTATTCGACCAAAATGTATAAATACGCATTTTCTGAAACGTTTTAAGACCCGGACCCAGATCCAGATCCTCAGTCGTGGGTCCTCACATTCTTCTGGACTCGGACCTCGTACTTTCTGGATGTTGTAGAAAATATAGGTTCTACTTCACATCAAGTCTTCTTCTTTTATTCAATGGGGATCGGGACACTCGGATTACAGTAGCATGTCGTGTCGCCGGATCCCCGTCCCTCGTTCTGGTTTACTGAATAAGGTAGACTAGTAATAGTTCAAACATATCAAAGTGGTATGTTTACTTGCATGCATTTCTTTGTGCTAATGTGCCATATATATAGTAACTTGAATTGATATACGTACGTACGAAGTTCTGCGCTGTAGCTGACTGATGACTTCCTTCTACCAAGAAATACTTGTTTTCAGATTACTTACATACATAATAAAAGGAACTACAGAGAGAAATTTCTTCTTTCTAATATTTATATATATATATTTAATGAAACATAAATGGTTTTTGAAATATATATAATTACAATATTATTATTATTACTGTCATTACTTGAATCATTTATACTACTAATTACATAGTTAAGCGAAATTAATTTGATTTATACAGTAGAAATGCTAATTTATCCACATAATATTGAAAACAATATTCTGAATCACATGTATCAAAGCTAAAATGAGAAAAACGAACAACAACAACAACCTCAGTTAAGAAGACATTGAAGATTAGCAAATAAAACTTTTACACACATTTGAAATGATGAATCAATCAGTGTGTCAGATCATCATTAGAAACCTGGAAGCTGGTTGGATGGCTGTTTCGTCATGGTATGGGACTCTCATCGGTAGTGCGCATCCACTACACCTACTTCTAGCAGGATTCGAACCCAGAACCTGCGGTCTTGCATGCCAATGCCTAACTTTATCCGACTAATGATGAATCTGTAAATGAATCGTCAAACTATTATTTGAAACAATAAATAGTATTGTTCTGTGATGTTCTTATAAGTTATGAACTGATAAACATTTATAGAAAATATCATTTGTCAGAATGAGGAAACTAGAGATAATGGTAGTCAGCGTTACAATTATTGAATAATGAATGATTTTAACTGTGGAATGTTTATCGTTAGAAAGAAGAATATTATCAATATGGAATTAATTATTTTAGATTAGTTCATAAATACTGAAAGATTTAATTTTTAATTTAAGGTTCTTAGTGGTCAGTTTAAGTTTATGTGCAGTCTTACGTTCTTAATGATTGTTATGTCAAGTTTGTTGAACTAGCACATCTTTCATCTAAGCATCCTTGAACGTAATTACCTATTTAAACTGTATAGCATGGATTTTAACAATTATATACGAAGAGATTTAGACTTATGAAGTTTGATAAGTGTATGAATATGAGAAATTTTAATGAATTCGACTTATGAACCATTTGATATTGACTCATTCTGTTAACCATTGATTTCCTTACCTACTTAAGCTTGTGGTGGAGTTTCTTTCTCTGAGTTGGATGTTTTGGTTGTGGAGCTCTAATTATTGTTTTCCTGAATAGCATCACCAACACAAACTTCAGATCGACATCTGTCTATCGTCCACCTAAGCTATAAATTTCCTTCACCATCTCGATTACTTATAAAGCTTGTTATCCCTTGTGAAGCATAAACCAATGACCAGAAATCTACAACCTACTCTTCCCTAGGTTCTCTTTTACTATTTTTGCTTGATCCTATTCATTATTTTTTTAATGTGTGCCTTCGATTCCAAGCATAATGTGTTCTTTGGTTAACCAATGAGACGAAGGTCAATCAATTTCATTGACTTATGTCACTATGAATACATAATCAACAAAGTTGTTTAACTCGAAGATAATAATAATAAAATTGTGCTCACTAATAATTAACTCCGCCTGTAGTCCCTTCGGCGCTACTGCCGGTCCCAAGCCCGGATAAAGGAGGAGGGTTGGGCATGGGGTTGGCGACCCCATTCTGTTGAAATCTAACTTGCCAAAAATCCGCTAACCAGAAAAAATAATTCAAACCATTTTAACTCTGCCCTGGGAGTTGGAAGAAGAATTATGACGTCTCGTGATGAAAGCCGACTTCCCTCGGAAGTCACGGGGCTGATGCCTCTTCTGACAACCAGAGCAACCATTTTTTTAGGTACATGGAACGTTCGTACATTGTGGGAGACTGGAAGACTATTTCAAGTTGCGGCAGAAATGAAACGATACAACCTCGAGGTGCTCGGCATCAGTGAAACGCATTGGACACAAGTAGGACAACTGAGACTAGCTTCAGGGGAACTGCTGTTATACTCTGGTCATGAAGAGGAAAACGCTTCACATACACAAGGAGTTGCATTGATGCTATCCAAACATGCACAAAAGGCACTGATAGGATGGGAATCTCATGGACCTAGGATCATCAAAGCATCCTTCAAAACAAAGAAAGAGGACATTACAATGAACGTCATCCAATGTTATGCACCTACCAATGACTACAATGACGACGTTATAGATCAATTCTACGAAAGGCTTCAGCCAATCGTCGAAAAATTCTCACCATAGGATTTGACGATTCTTATGGGAGACCTGAATGCCAAGGTTGGAATGGACAACACTGGATATGAAGACATCATGAGACGACATGGACTGGGAGAAAGGAACGAAAACGGTGAGTGATTTGCAAACCTATTTGCCTTCAATAAACTGGTCATAGGCGGCACAATATTCTCACACAAACGCATTCACAAAGCTACATGGATTTCACCCGGACCACACTACTCAAAACCAAATCGATCATATCTTTATCAATCAAAAGTTCAGAAGGACTATGGAGGATGTGAGAACCCAGAGAGGAGCTGATATAGTTTCAGATCGCCATTTGCTGGTCGCCAAAATGAAACTGAAGGTGAAAAAGCACTGGACGACGGGGCAGACGACATCACAGAAGTTTAATACAGCCTTTCTTCGGGATACCGTAAAACTCAACGAATTCAAGATAGCCCTCATCAATAGGTTCCAGGCCTTGCACAATATACTCAATGGAGAGGACACAACATTGGAGAACAATTAGAAAGGGATCAAGGAGGCAATCACTTCAACATGTCACGAAGTTCTGGGTCACAAGAAGTACCATCACAAGGAATGGATCTCTGTTGATACTCTTGCAAAAATTGAAGAAAGGAGGGACAAGAAGGCAGCATTAAATGTCAGCCGAACAAGAGCAGAGAAAGTTACCACACAAGCTGCATACACAGAAGTAAACAGGGAAGTGGAGAAGAGCATCAGAGCTGACAAACAAAAATATGTGAAAGATCTAGCAATGACGGCGGGAAAGGCTGCAAGAGACGGAAACTTGAGACAATTGTACGAAACAACAAAGAAGCTGGCCGGAAACTATCGTAAACCAGAACGAGCAGTGAAAAGTAAGGAAGGCAAAGTAATCAGCAACACTGAAGAACAGCGAAGTAGATGGGTAGAGCACTTTCAGGAACTCTTGAATCGACCAGCTCCACTGAACACACCCAACATCGAAGCTGCATCCACGGATCTCCCAATTAATATTAGCGCACCTACGATTGAGGAGATCAGTATGGCCATCAGACAAATCAAGAGCGGCAAGGCAGCAGGACCAGACAACATTCATACAGAGGCAATGAAAGCAGATGTAGAAGCAACTGCGAAAATATTTCACATTCTCTTCAAGAAGATTTGGGATGAGGAACAAGTACCATCAGATTGGAAAGAAGGATACCTGATCAAAATACCAAAGAAAGGCGATCTCAGCAAGTGTGAGAACGATATAGGTATCACTCTTCTCTCAATACCAGGCAAAGTATTCAACAGGGTATTATTAAACAGAATGAAGGACTTCGTAGACGCCCAACTTCGAGATCAACAGGCTGTATTTCGTAAGGATCCATAGTGTACCGACCAAACTGCAACATTAGGGATCACTGTGGAACAATCAGTTGAATGGAAACCATCATTATAGATCAAGTTCATCGACTACGAGAAAGCATTCGATAGCGGAGTTGGAAATCAGGAAAAGCACCTAACTGCGTCACAAGACAAGCCCTCACATGGAACCCTTAAGGAAAAAGGAAAAGTTGAAGGCCAAGGAACATATTAAGCCGAGAAATAGAGAAAGACATGAGAAGAATGAACAAAAATTGAACAGAATTGGAAAGGGAAGCCCAGGACAGAGTTGGTTGGAGAAAACTGGTGGGCGGTCTATGCTCCATTGGGGGTAACAGGCGAAAGTAAGTAAGTAAGTAAGTAGGCTCACTGATAACTAACCTCGATATGCATGTTCTTAAATTGTCATCTATGTGTTGCGTAGTCATTCATGTAAGAAATGAAGAAATAACTACCCGAAAACTGGATTATATGACATTGAAAATATAATCTATCGACTTTTATCTACCATAACTTGTTGTTTGTTTCATGACTTGACAATTCAGTAAACAAGTTATGGACAGTCACCAGTAGAGATTTTTCATTTTAAAATGTAACACTTTCTTTCTATTCTATCCATAATTTCTATTGATTCTGTACAAAATATCAACAATTCTCATAAATACGAAGAAGAAGAAGAAGAAGAAGAATTGCTTGTTACCCCCAATGGAGCATAGGCCGCTCACCAGTTTTCTCCAACCAACTCTGTCCTGGGCTTCTCTCTCCAGTTCTGTCCAATGTTTGTTCATTCCTCTCATATCTTTCTCTATTTATAATTCTTCCTCCAACTCCCAGGGCAGAGTTAAAATGGTTTGAATTATTTTTTCTGGTTAGCGTTTTCTGGCAAGTTAGTTTTTGACGGAATGGGGTCGCCAACCCCATGTCCAACCCTCCTACTTTACCCGGGCTTGGGACCGGCAGTAGCCCCGAAGGTTCTACTGGCGGAGTTTCATAAATACGATAACTGTTATATAATAAACACTTTTCATTGTTTCACATTACGATTATTATAACAAAATCAGTTGCATGTTTAATAATTTCAAACTTTTAACATGATGAATACACTAGAAAATCTCTTCATAGATCCCCCCACACACATACAAATACATAAACATACCTTCCAAATGTTGTCCCGACTGTACATCGCCAACAACCGGAATATGTATCTTTGAATACTTTTGCAATATAATCAGCTATTTGATCATGAGTTGAATAGAGATTCATAGCTTCCAGGGTAATTTCAATGGCATGTTGTTGTATTTGTTCTGTTCGTATTTTGTCTGAATCCTCCTCCATTGTTCCGTGAAGCAAGCGAACAAAGAAATAATCAATCCACTAAACGAAACAGAAGCAAGGTATCACAAATTTTCAAAGGTTATCTATCTATCTGTTTTGAGGTAGAGATTAGTACAGTTTGGATTTAGTATTTATATATTAGTTAATGAAGTATGGATTCTTAAGTATATATATATATATATATATATATATGTTTTGTTGGTAGCCTACATACTCTAATATTATTTTACTTTGTGTCAAGAAGTTACGATAGATTTTCACTGAGAAGTATGCAACTAATTTATATAATCAATCAATTATTATGTTAACTATCTCAGTAGTTCACACTTAATGTTATAAGTAGTATTGTAGGCTAAAAAAAAAGTGTACTTGAAAACAAATTTAATGTTTGTTTACCATTTCATTTAAAAACAAATAACTATCATGTGATAAAGACTTTGGTTTTGCACGTAATGAATTAGGATGACTATCAAAAAAATGTTCTAACAGACGACTTAGCTTCCTTTCCTCAGGTGGAATATATATATTTAGAGAGAGAGACGAGTATTTTGAACATATTGTTCGGTAGCCAAATAAACTTTATATTTTAGTTTTGTCTTCTCGTTCAAATAACCAATTTTAGGGGTTGAAACGTATGGGGTTTAGGTTTCACATTCACAAATGTTAACTCACTGATTTTTTCATCGAATTTGCTGTTTGTGTCACTCTAATTCGCAAGCATTTCGCCTCTTCTATTCGCATGAATAACGCCTAAGTTATTAATGCGGATGGTCAGTTTACTCATACTGGGCAAGAATGATGTAACCTCCTAGCTTAAACTAAAATCGCTACTCGGTGTTGATACCTGAAATCTGGGTGGATCGGATCCCATGATGACAATGTGAATCGACTGAGGTAGATATTTGATTTCCTCTTGTTCGAAAATCTTTTATTAATTCTCAGGTACCGAACACCTATTTATCAACGATCCTTTTTATTGTTTACTTCGATATTTTGTGCAATGGCGACCTTTGACTGTGTAGCACATGCTTTATCGTTTGAGGTATTTTGTAATTTCTATATAATTGTTTTTCTTTTTTAAATGAGAACCGTTTAACTTGAAGAGAAAATCTGTATTTTAGTGTAATTTAAAACGGACCACTCAAAAAGGCTTCGTTCGTCATGCTGAAGAATGTAATTTATTTAACCTAACAGAATAAACTTTCAGACCAAATATTGGCAATTTAGTCGTTACACAACAATTTGTCCAATATTCTAACATGTCTCATTGAAGTAGATAGTATTAACAAGTAACTAGTAACTCTTTAGATAAGATGTATAAAGTTTTTGTTCAGGGTAATCGAAATATCAGTGGTAGTCCGATAAGTTAATATTGATGATAATATTGTCACTAGCATGAAGCAGAAAGTCAGCCAATGTCTATCGTTTCGTTCTCAGAGAAAGAAACACCACCACAATCATCCACCTGAGCTACAAGTTTTCGCCATCATCTCAGCCAATGTCAGTAATTATTTCTTGTATGTGACAATCGACTTATAGGTCAACTGAAGGCGCAGAAGTTGTCAAACACTAAGGCTTGCATCATTTATAGGCTGTACAGAATATACGATTTTGTGTGACAGGTAAAAACAAAGTCATAGTTTGAAGAAATTGAATTCATATCCTGAAGTTGATAGTTTACAGAGTAGAGAATGACATGGGGCTTTCATGAATCGGCAATAGGATCACCTAGAATCCCTTGTGTGAAAGACATGAATATGCACACAGTTGAGACGGATTGTCTTTCCGAATACTGTATTCATTTGTGTTCAGTTATTACTAGTAGAAATTCCTTAAACGTTTGGTCAAAAGTGGAAGATAAGCCAGTAATTCTGACTGGAAAGAGTTACGTAGTCATTGTTCCCTTTTATGATTTTTTTATAGAGAGATTAATGTACGTAAATAGAGGAGTGCAGATAACTGGACTCTTGATATCATTCTAGTTAGAGTATTCGGTTATTCACATCTGGATAAAGAAGTAAGGGATCAAAAGAAAGTGATTACGAATCTCGGAAATACTGTAGTAGACTCACAAACAATGTTAGCAAATAAAGGTTTGTAATGCTTGTTTATGTAAACTGATCTCCATTCTGTATTCACCTCGTCAAAAGTCTCTAGTTAAAACTAAGTTAAGACAATTGTTCAGTTGCATGGAATTATGGGTGCATGAAGCGTTTGTTAGCCCTCGCTTAAATAAAGGGGTTGACGTCCTTACTTGAGTTTTCGTGCACTGCTGCTATCTGAAGCTCAGCTGTTGGCATCGCAGTTCATCGAGAGTGTTCCGGACGCCAGTTCTCAGTGCGTATAAATGTTGTGCGCCGGGAAATGGCGTCCGGAACTTTCTCGATGAACTGTGATGCCAACAGCTGAGCTTCAGATAGCAGCAATGCACGAAAACTCAAGTGAGGACATCAACATCTATATTTAAGCGAATATTACAGAGTTGTTAAGCATATGTACAAAACCTTCCCATGAAATCATCATTTGCAAACTAATCCTTAATTGTTTCAGATTTCAGTGTTCTTTCATTTAGAATGTTCAGACTTCAGTTCACTTTACGTTACCTACAAATCACCTTCTGTTCTCATTCTTTCCTTCTCGATCTTTTGCTGTCAGACGTTTGATTTCCGTTTGATATCATATACTACTTATGTGAACATAAGTAGTGTGCACCACAAGAGTAGTAAATGACAAACTGTCAGAAACATATGATGCCGCCTATCATAGAAACAGTGGACCATGATTCATTATAAGATATAGCCTCTAAAATGCTGTCTTCGGAAATAAAAGTGGTATTGAGTGTAAACCTGTAGCATTGCACCTGAGTTCAGGTCTTTCACCTAATTGTAATTCCGTGCCTCCGTATTATTAGAATGAGGAATCAGTAAGAGGAAATAAGTAGTTTAATTAGGGTACTTTTACTCAATGCATTACGTTCTAAGAGGACAAACATGTCAACAAAGATAAGCTGGTGAAAGACTAAGTTTGCACACTAGCCAACTCTGGTTGTTAAATAGCAGTAGGTATATGGATGAACAGATAATAAATATGATTAGGCCTATTTTCATATGAATGAGACTCATTCATTCATCTTAATGCATAATACTTTTGTTAATAAGCGCCTAATCAATGTCTTTTTTAGAATTTTTCTGTGTAGAGAAAAGAATAAACTTCAAGTTCACTAGCTAATCAGCTCTCATAAAAGTTATATTGGAAATAAGAATTTATAAAAGTAATACTTTTGATGAAAAAAAAACCCAATGATTGGCATTTTTTTCATTTTCAAACTTTTTGAGCTAATTTATCTAGTTCACTAACTCACACATTGCTTATTGAATTTCACAGACTTTCAGATATTCAGTCAGAATATCAGGAAGTTATATAATTAATCATCAGTACCTTTATTGATCTAGGCACAGACACACACAATTCAAATGGTCGTATTACGTAAAGTAAGCCGAACGGTAACTCAGCGGATAAAGCGTTTGGCTTTCAGCAATAAAGTTATAGGTTTACACCCCACTCGATCTTGACAACTAAGTAGTATCACTAGTCCACGTACAATGCAACTTCAATCCTGGAACCTGGCATCCAGGAAAGGAGTATACATAATATAAGGTCATAAATAATAAATCTCATGAAACATATACTCATTTTTTCAAAAGAGAGAAAATGTAAAAGCAAAGAGAATTTTCTTTCGACTATATCATTTTTTAAATTTGTACAATTGTATTTATAGGTAATCTTTTACATAGTAGTCTGAAGTAAAATAGAGGAGTTTGACAAAATTAACAGAAGTAGGCAAACTCATTCAAATGGAAGACAATGAAAACGAAGTGATGCTGCGTAATATGATGAAGATTATCAAAGTTTCAAATATTGACTATCATACAATAGTGGTTTCAATATAAAACTGAATAACATAGTTGATTCTCATTTGTAATCGGTTAAAAATGTGGCCACACAATAGTTTACAATTAGAACACTTAAGAAATGCCATGAAACAATCTATCATCATATAATTATGTCAAAAAAGAACGCGAACTAAATTACGAGACAATAGTTTCTTGTTTCCAATATTTTTACTCATCTTGGTTACATTTTCTACTTTATTGGACTTTTTTCTTCTTGAAAATGAAAATTTCAGATAGTGGATGCAGTTTATCAATTCAAGACATTGCTGATATTTGTGCATCCGTACAATTCTGTATGACACGATTAATCTGTCGGCGTGTACAACGCGCCATTGAATATTGTTTGTTGAACAATGATTCTAGATCCAGTGTAATTAGGGATCATCCAACAGCTTTGGTAAGATGAGTGTGTGTGTGTGTATGATCATTATATCATCAGTTGTGTTTGTGTCATAATCGTCACCATTTCATACCGACAGAGTAAATCACAAGAGTCTACTGTTGAATATTTTAGATCTCAGTTAATTATTATTGGGATGTTATGATTCCTATATGATTTAAAGGGCTTTTTTTCTAAGATTTGTGGTTACCGGCCCTTCTTTATCCGGGATCGAAACTAGTCGTAATTCTAGAAGGGCTCTAGGCAGAGTTGTGGATAACTTGTAAGCTCTACTAATGATAAAGACATAATCCATGCATCTTTTATATAAGTGGAAGTTGTCAATCATCATTTTAAATTGATTGTTTTACAGACCGTCCATAGAACAATCTGCTAGTAATGGACAAGGATGGGATCACATTAGTGGAAAGTGAAATTTAATTATGTCCTTCGCTACAAGGATACAAAAAATTTGTAGTCCCGAGTTCATTGATAATAAACTGAACCTACCAGAGGTAATACCAATCAAAGCCATAAAACTTAAACCTCTCTAAGAACAAAAAATCCTCCTTAGAAAAGAAAACTCTTTATATGAACATCTAACGCCCTCAACAAAACAATCTTCGGAGTAACTTCAAGACTAGTTAGTTTTCTTGCACCAAACGATGTTCAACAATAAACTTAAGGATAAATTCTCTCATTTGACCAATTCCATATGGGTTTATCAATGTAATTGTTAATGTGGATGGATAAATTTCTAGTCAAAATTCATGACTTGCTCTGTCAATTGTGATTGTTTCGTCCATAAATTACAGTCTAGCTACTATATATACTGCTTACTGTGTCCTCAAAGGTTATTAGAAATGAAACTGATTACTGAATATTCCTAAGTAGCATAAAGTACTAAACAATAAAGGGTTAAATTATTCTCATGTACAAAATCAAAACAATAGTGGTGGCAAATTTTTTTTAATTTTATGACACTTATATGTATGGCTATTGGGTTATATAAATTTTCGGCAGTTTTATTCCTACGGCTTAAAAAAAAATACTGATGTGAAGTTCGTTTTCCTCCAAAATATATTTCTTTTATACTTAAAATTCGAAAAATACTTTTCCTAAACAAATCCAGCGACAATCTATTTCATTGTGTCAATGAATAATGATAGAGTTAAGACATCACTGATGGTTTCATGAGTTTTGTTGTCGACTCAAATATTCATTGTTTGTTAGCGCCTTAGGCTGCAAATTTTGAATTTACAATCTCCTTCCGACTAATTTCTGAAACATCTGATTCTTAAAAATCATGGATTTTAAAAATCCGTTCACGAATTTTTTTCTCATGAGAATGTCATCCGAATCAGTTAAATGTTAATTTTCTGCTTGATTTAATATCATCTCTAGCAAGAGCTGGCTTATAAAATTTCAGTAAGGAATCCAAATGCTGACTTGGTACTTTTTAATATGCGTTACATATAACGTGTAATATTTGATTATAATATTTTCACAGTATTCTGTGCAACAATGGAGTAAAAGATATGAAGGTTAACTTCATAGCTCTAGTAAATATGACAAATCTGTGAACCTTTGCTACCTGAGGTTACTGGGTGTAAACTTAAGCAACGTCTGCCTCAATGAATATTGCTGATTCGCGTTAGAGTAAGTTTACAGAAACACACACTGAAATAAGGTGTCAGTCTATGCAGTTGCTAAATGTTAGTCTGAACAGTGTCAGTTAGTGTAGACTCTCAAGCTGGGTTACGTTCAATAGTTGTGATTAGAAGTTAGGATATAAATAGTTCCGAATGAGTCTCAAAACAGCCATTGAAATTGTTCCTCTCCTGCTCCCCTCTATAATCCATAATTTTACCTTACTGTGCGGATTTCACCATTCAATTTGTCATGAAATTTTTGTTGCATATATTTCTTTCCATACTCAGCATTTATTCAATAATATTTTGTAGGTTGTTTCTGGTGGAGTTGGCTCCAATCATGTTATTCGTGCCGGTTTAATGGAAGTAGCTAATCATTATAAATTGAAATTTGTTGCTCCTCCACCAAATCTATGTACTGATAATGGAATTATGATCGCATGGTAAGAATTAAAAGTTTATGATTAAAATACGTTGAGTATTTAAAAAAACAGTTTCTTTCTTCAAAGTGACTTTATCCTGTCTCACATTATCATCATTTTATCATAGTTGTAAATGTTAAGTAAACAAGTCAAATGTATTTCTCGATTACTCTGATGATGTTTGTGAATACAACGGAGAAAAATATCTTGGACGTGTGTATCATGCTTGCACTCACTAACAGATGCCTGCTTGCAATCATTCGATTCCAATTTCTTCATTTTCCACCGTTCATTGGCTGAGATATCCATATTAATCGTTTGGCAAGTGATTAACTGCATGGACTATTGAGAACGCCTCTAACTATGGTAGTGATGACGTGAAGTTGAATTCCTCGGAAACCACCAGTTTTTACAAAATTGCTGATATGCTGTACTAATGATTAAATGCCACTTGTTTGCAATTACCATTTACACACAGTGTATCACACGGTCTAGTCAGTTAGCCCTTTTTTAGTTACACTGCAACCAACACGAAGGTGCCGACGGAACTATAGCCGATTGTGGGTTGACCTTATCACTACATCTGGAAAATCAGTAAAAATAGTATTAACTTGGTACTCATTTGTGTTGCGTAATATACATATAAAAATTGATGACACTGTGACTGAGTTAGATACGAAGTACGGCTCCTCAATTCGCTGTTCCACGTTATTTACGAACAATTAAGTATGTTAAATATACTCAACTCATCTGATACAAATGTTTATACTCAATTATTCTAGATTTCATTGTAAACTATTGTGAATAAAACAAGCTGTCCCATAGAATATTTATTTTAGTCCTAATAAATTCCTGTTCTGGCTATTGGCTCACTAACCACACAATTAGTATAGATATGTAAATTTAAGGATAAGTGATAGTCATCTCTATGCGATATTCCGACAAACATCTTAATCAACCAAACAAATATTATCACACATTATTTTATTGTTACTCGGACTTGAAAATCGAAACTAACGTGATTGTTTAAATAAAATGTACTTTCTCCTCTCTCTCTCTCTCTCATCATCTATAGATCTGTATTTGGCGTTGATTGTCGAGACGAACTAAAACAAGCCAGCATTTCCATTGAACCAATTAAATTACCAGATACAATTTTTCAATCATCAAATACTCGATTTCTTATTTAAATTTTGAAATATGTTTTGATGAATAATATGTATATAAAATCAAAAATAATTGAAAACATTTTATTATGTAATATTGACTAAATACAATGAAATTTATTCAAAGAACTTTTGTTTAAATTCAACCGAATCAGTTTCACAGTAGTTATGACGTACATCAATAGATAATCAGTTGAACTGAACTCTCCACATACAGCCCCTCTGATGTTTCTGTCTGTATATGTCAGTATTGCATGAGCAAATTCAAGTACTGTAAATGGATTTAATTGTCTTCAACTGGATGACGATATCAAAACAAGTCTAATGGACTGTTCCTAAGTTTAAAATGTTTTAGTTTTACGATGCAACGTGTAGCTCGATTGTTGCACCGTCAATACGACGTACATATCTGAAGAGAGTATGCAAGTCATGACTAAATCAATTTTATTTCTTTCTTATTGCTCAATCAAAACCTGGCGATAAATACTGAACCAAATCATTACGTCCAAACCACTGACTGATCTCTGTCTGATGTTCAGAGAAATTACTTCATTTGTGATGCCTCCAAATTCACTAACAACAATTAGGACAGCGCTTGTCATTGAAGGTTTGCAACTAAACGGTGTACTACAAAAAATATATATCAACAATGATCGAATTCATCCATAATATGTGGCACACTTAATTGCTCGACCACTTTTCCTCAAATGTACTGCCAGCATGAATTGCGGTCATTCACAGCTTTTATTGTATACGTCCGTTGCAAAATCTCATAGCTTCGTATTCCATCTCTTCTGTGTAGATCACCGATACACATCCTAGTCTTTTCATGTGTGTGTGTGTGTGCATTATCATGAGTAACACAGTAGATGCACACTGCTGAATAGTCTCCTTACTAAGCATGGAACCACCGTCCATTAAACACTATCAAGTTCACTTTTTAAAAAAATACTTATTTAAACTTGATCAACTGAATAAAATTTAAAAAAATAATTAACACTGTGGCAATAAGAAATTAATGTACAACAATGAAAGAAAAATGAAGTCAAATTGTTTTTTTAAGATGGATTACAGTCTTGAGGTGGCGCATTAGTAACATTTGACGTTTTTCTATGAAACGATGGTACAGGAGCTGTGGATGTCGACGATGATGGATGTCTTTGAACTTTCTGACTGTTCGTGTTGGTGTTAGTGAAGACTTCATTTTGTCTTCTTTGATCAATGCGTGATGAGATTTTATTCGGTTCATTTGAATGAGTAGTAGTATATGGTGTAGTCATTGTAGGTAGGTCTGAAGATGATTTCTAGAATTGTTATTGAATGAACAGAACAAGAAATGTTAAGACTGATGTTTACAGGGCGACAAAATTAATGAGAAAATAGACAATGGAAATCGCTTAAATGCTTTGAGGATTTGTTAGAAAAGTCTAGGAGATTCTCCACAATGTGATTCGAACAAATAAGTCATTAGATGCTACTTGTATCTTCTTAACCACGAATTATCAATGTCCCAGTCATACATACACCTACAAATATACTCGTTTTCTGTGCCTAGAATAACCTCAGAATAAAAACATTTCACAATTAATGCCCTTTTGTGTTTCATTCAGGACTCAAGTGTAGGAGATCTCTTAGGAACTAGGAGGTGGTTGGAGAGTCAGTGTCAAGCGTACGAGTGCTAAATACATTTTCGTACTACTCGGAAAACTATTAGCGTACGGCTTCGGAAGAAACAGTGTACGGACAATTTACCAACTAGGAATTATTTCTCCATATTAAATTCACGAAAAAGTGGATTCTTAACGTCGATTTTGTTTAATAGTACAGTATAGAATATCAAATTAATCATGTTTAAAAAAGCAAGCCAGTTATCGATAATGTTCACCTGTTTCATAGGTTCTTGTTTAGGAATTTGCCAAGATGGACTGAGAGGTTTGGGTGCAGCAGGTGTAGCGAACAATTCATCTTTTTTATTTCGTGATTGAGAATTAGGAGGACGATTATTAAATTCAAATGGACGATGATGAACATTCAAGTGATCTTTACCAACATTGGCATGAACAGAACGAAGCAGATCCTGTGGTAATTGAGTTGTACTTTCTGCTAAAGGTCCATGTTGTAAGAAGCTATAATCCTTCAAAATAAATGAAGAAAAGTCATCATTCATATAAATGCTACTTCGAAAGAATATAACATTTGTCAATATATGCATATTAGTACTTGAGAAATCGCTGTGATCCAAAACTAAGGGTGTTTAATTACAAGCCGGTTTAACCGTTTGCATGAACAAGATATAAATCGAATAGGTTTGAAACTCTGCTTCTTTGCTGAAAGTCATATCACGCGTTTCTTTGGTACGATTTGATTTTCTTCAACTCGAAACATTTGGTTTATCGAGATAGTGGAGAAGAATTTTGGGTCAGGTGAGTGGTGTTTTTAGAGTTTCGTTTTCTCTGCTGGATGCATCAAACAGCAATTCAATCGAAACAAAGAGGTAGAAATTCAACAACAATAATTATTCAAGAGATGCAGGTCGACAAGAAAAGTTGTTAGTCATAGGTAGAGAAATTCGAATACTTCATTTGTACCAGAAGCTTGTACTGTTGACATTTTTCAGAAAAACAGTGAAAGAAGCTTCACAATCAAACCTTCCAGATCCCACAACGAAACCCCATCAAAACCATTTGGTTTATGCCTGTTTGAAAGCGCGGATCGACAAAACGACGGCTGCATTTCTACAAGTGAACATCTACAACTCAAAAAACTATCTACCAACACCAAAGTCAGAATTTTGTAAAACAAATGTCAAGACAGTTCTACAGTATGGGGTGGGAACGTGGCGAACTACCAAAGTCATCATCCACAACATACAAATATTTATCGACAGTTGTCTACGCAAAATACTTTCGACTCGTTGACCAGACATCATCAGTAAAAACAGGGCACAAACTACTCTGACATTTGTTTTAATAATTTCATCTCGTCGAGCTAATATGGCAAGCTGAATCGATGAACGAATGTAACAGCATTCACGTTACCTATGACTGACCAGTAATATTTAATAATTTTCGGATAGCTACATACATATAACTGTGTTTCAGACTGTCACGGGTGTACTATGCATCACTGACTGACTATATCGCTTAACATGACATAATACAATACTGGCTGACATGAGAGTAGGTTGGCAAAAAGTTAACGATCTAAAAAATCAAAACATGGAACAACTCATCGACTGTTCCATCACAGCCCAGGTAAGTAGAGGTGTGATATGTCATTGCGCTGATATGATGATCTATAACAACTTGAACACATCACACAATCGTGTCCCTTTGCATATAGATAATTCATTGATTGGCAGTAAACTAAAGCAACAATGATGAAAATCTAATTGTAAACAAGGATTATCTTATATCATCCTGTGAATAATTTATTCATTACTTACAGGTTGTAATTTTTTCGAATGAAAATTATGTGAATCAGTAATAATTGGTTTGGAGTAATTATTATCTAAACAATCCTTTTTCCATAATGGAGTAGGTGAATACAGTGAAGGATTATTATTATTATGATGATCCGATTTGTTCGTGGTAGATTGTGGTGGTTGTGACGGTGATGATTTCACTTTTGATCCAGACAATTCTGTAAGCGGCTTACGTGTTGTTGAACTATGATGATATCGCATGGAGCCAGTGTCATGAGCAGTTGTTGTTATTGCTGCTGCTGCTGCTGATGATGATGATAAGATTGGTTTGTCAGGAATGATAAAATTATTTGACTTTGTTGATAAAACTGGATGTGAAATTTTATTGTGAACAGAATCCTGAAATGGTCATGTAATATAATAATAATATACAGCATATTCAGTCAGATTGACGAATTTGTAGTTAAGTAACATGTAAATTTTATTCTCAACAAATGTTAAATCAACTATCAATAAAAAAAATGAACTTAACACATTTGCATACTTGATATAATGATGATGAGTAAAATTTGACAATCCCAGTTGAAATATACAGAGAGGCACTAGTCACCATTCATTGAGCGTGAACGGAGACAGCTGGAGTAGAATTTCATTCCAATAGGCAGTAGTTGTTCATACAACCAACTACATGTAGATAGAACTGTTCAATGTTTTCGAAGTAATATTGAATGAAGTATAGGCTTGTGTGTGGGGGTAAGCTGGAGGAAAGCCAGGGGCGACTGAAGCAAATCACGGCACCAATCCATGAAGTCAATAACAACTGAATTGAGCCATGTTAGCGGGTGTAGTCTAATAGGTTGAGGTCGGTGAGACGACAGTAACCGATGGTTGGAGACTTTTATATGGCTCATAATCATTTGCGAAAACACAGATGCATTCATTCTTTGTGTTCGTGAAAATTCTAATCTTCTGAATTCCACATCACCTTCATCTTTTACTTCTCAAAATTCTTTCACTGGGGTTGGCGACCCCATCCCACCAAAAAACTAACTCACTAAAAAACGCTAACCAGAACAAAATTCCATCTCTGTATTGCTAATGTCGTATGACAACTTGAACTGACGTTTATACGTACGTACTTACTACGTACTACATCGTAGTTGGCTGACTCATTAGGATTACGCGATCACTAAACGACTAGAAAATCATCACACTAATCACTGATTATTAGCTTAGCTATCAATCGACTCTATACATACATGTCACACATTAACCGCATCTATTAACGCGCTGTGCAATTTCTGTAACAGTCTTCTCCAAACGTTGCTTAAACTAAACAAAACATAAATTCGTTTCGGATTTGAAAATAACCGAAATAAAAAATATATGTGGTACAACAACAACAACATACTACTTACATAATGAACAAGTTTTTCTTCAGATTTGCCGACACCTATAGTTTCCGTAACAGGTACAGCAGGACGACTGCGTTTATTGTCTGATAAATATTCAGGAGATTGTTGAAGACGTTTAGGTGAAGTAATGATATTAGCAATCGCTGTAACTGCGGCACCGACGCGAGAAAAGATTGATGATGTAGATGAGGTCTCGAAAGACTTACCAGAAGACGATGAAGATGATTTGTTTGTCGTGAGAGTACTGACTGCAGTCAATGAGTCTAAGAAAACAATATTGAACATACGCGTAATGAAAAAAGGAGAAACTCGAAGAAACGAGTTAACATCTATATGCAAATGTGATTTTTTCTTGTTTAAAAGAAATTTTTTCTCCATTTTCAGAAAATGACGCCATTACAGTATGAAATATACAGAACAATAAATACACTTATGGAACAGTGAACAGAAGAAAATTCGATAAAAGTAACATGATTATTTTCACCAAACGATTTATCAGTAGACCGAACAACTTGATCGTGGTGAAACAAGCTAGAAGCTGGCAGCAAAACATTCGCAATTGATTTTTAAAATATTAACACAGTATGTTTTTAAATGCTTCGATCAATTAACAGCCTGACATTGTCTCCGCTAGAAATAACGAAGCTTTTGCAGTACATCATCAGTGGTGTTGCATTGCTGCAAATCATTTTAAATCCTTCATTTTAATTGATGATCTGAATAAAATCCATAATCTATGATAAATCAATAGATCAACAGTGAATTCCTACTCTTAACATATGGAACAAATACTGCCGAATTTCGATGATTTCACTGCTAATATTATTCCAAGTAAAATACTTTTCACTGTACAACTTTTGGCATTCTCAGGATATTTTCCTAGCCTCACCATTTAATTTAACGCCCAAGTTATTATTTTCTTAATTATATGTAAATATATACAACACGATAATACTCAAAGAATCGACCTAACAGTTCGGTTTTAATTGATCGAAGAGCGAGTGACCTCTAAGCTAATTTCCTATAATCGATTACGACGTCTTACCAAGCATATTCTATACTCACTCATATTCTGTATTTTGTCGTACACAAAAAAAACCAAATCATCTGACTAGTGTGGCCTTGACTCCTTGTTTACATCATCCGCTGGTTTCGATCAATAATCCAATCTCATGGGTAGCCATCACTCGGTCGTATCAAATCGATTGACAATAATTCTTTTCATTGATTTTAACAATCGCAAAGTCGATTATCATCAAGTCATTCTTCCACAGAAAAGTACAAAAGTTATAACGTTTAATCTGTACTTATCACTCAGTCAGTAAATGTGAGATTTTATGGGAAATGGTATCAGTGGAGGTTCTCACGTTATTTAAATGCAATTAGTGAAAGTAAACTGTGACGCGGAATTCAGAATTTCCGGGGAAGTAAAATGAAGAGTTACCTAATTCTCCTCATGAAAGTCGAGTTTCTTCGCAAGCCACGAGGTCAGCGCCCCTTCTCATAACCAGGGATAACATTAATTAGCTACACGGAGTGTTCGTACATTGCAGCAGGCCGGAAGGGTCATCCAAGTTGCTGCAGAAATGAAAAAATACAACCTCGAGTTTCTTGGAATCAGTGAAACACATTGGACGCAGTCGGACAAGAAAAACTCAAACGAAAATAGGGAGACCAAAACACATTTACGCTGAGAAATGGAGATAGATATGAGGAGAACGAATAACAGTTGGATAGAACTAGAAAGAAAAGCCCAGGACAGAGTAATTTGGAGAATGCTGGTCAGCGGCCGATGCTCCACTAGGAGTAACAGGCAAGTTATGCAAGTGATGATGATCAATGCAACACTGATCGATAATTTTGATCCAAAACTCCTTACCTGTTCAATAGGATTCGGTAATATGGATTGTGGTATTTCATCGGAATTATCATAGAATAAATCCCAAATCCATGGACATTTCTAGAATAATCAATAAAACGAAAAAAAGCATACAAAAGCACATCATTTAGACATTTTCAAAATAAAACAAACATTGATCAATTTCAAAAATTCAAGTTCTAAGTGAAATGCACAAGACAATGGATACTCATTATTTTCATTTTTAAATTTCAATTTCTGCTGAATCGTCCGTCAGTCAGCTGAGTAGTAGTAGTACCTGCTGCCTCTCAACACTGACATTCATACTGAAGTTAGTAGCTAGAAATGAATGAAGTCAACAACAGTCAATCACATGGTGGACTCGGTTTGATCGACTTAGACAGTGTAACATTGGCTTAAGTTGCTGTGTCACATGAAAATAACGAAATGAAAATCGAAATAATGTATTAGCAATGATAAGATTACACCTCGAAATAATGTATCAGCAATGATAAGATTACACCTTGTGAATAAGATACCGCGATTTAAGATTGACTGGAACATAAACAGTAAGTGTATTTACGCTAATATGTCTTTGTGGATAACACAATGATATTGAACAATTCAATCAATTTACCTATAATACACGTCTTCTCATTTTCGGATTGCAATCATCACAAACATCAGGTTTAGAAAATTTGTATTCAACACTACAGGATAGACATTCAATGGTATTATTTGCAAGTCAATCAAGTTTAAATATGTGAAGTCTTGTCTATTTATATCTTTCACATGTACATTATATTGATACGAATCAAAACCATTTTGTTCATCATAGTTTTTTTAGTGGAGTAGTTTCGTTTTCAGAACTATGGTGCTTTTAGACTTCACAGTAGTAATATTGAATCTATCTAAATAGTCAGTCAGTCAGTCACTCAGTCATTCAGTTACAACTTAAAACTTCCTACGTACGTACATTAGTTCAAGTTGTCATAACACATCAGCACACAGACGCCATTGTCAATTCAAATCCCAAAGTAGTAGTAGAGGTAGTCGAAGTATTAGCAGTAATCGAAAAGATTATTGATCGACTACATCATTCGAGAGGTATACCCCAAAGGAATTACTTATAAAAAAGAGAACAAAATAGTCATGACAAATTCAGAAGATTAGAATTTGAGAGAGCACAAATGGATGGATGCACAGGCGCCATTGCAAACAGTTTTCAGCTATGGCATTCAAGGTCTCCTCTAACTAGCGATTACTATCACCTTACGCACCCCAACCAGAGGCAGTCTACACTTTTGGCTAAATAAGTCATAAATGAATAAAAATATGTAGAGTAGCAACATATTAATTCAGTCACTCCATTGTGATAATGTAAAGTTTGTTGGATTCGTCCTGTCTTTCCTAGTCAGTTAGCTTAAAAATAATGAAAATATATGTTAGTCTACAAGGAATGTAGTATGAAAACAATAATTGTTACTATGATTATGATTACATGAGACAGTACAAGTGTAACATCATTACAAATGTAACATACCTTCTCAAGTCTATTCAGAAATGATCTCAATTGATCTAAAGATAGATTCGGACCTACTGGAACATTTTCTTTTGAACAGAATTGTTGTGCTAACTCATCTAAATCACCTAAACGTTTTCATAAATAAATAAAGGCGGAAAAAAAGACGAACAAAATCACTACTGACACAAATCTATTATACAATTGATTGATGAGGTAATCAATTGTCATTCATTTGGGTGGTTGGAACAAGTGCTACATGTATGCCTAACCAACCATTACCTCGACCAGCTACGCCGTCGTCTAGTGTAGGAGTATACTGGAAGAAAGCTAGGGGGGCAAACAAAAACATGACAACAATACGTAAAGTCATCGACAATCGGACCAAGTCATGTTAGTACGTGTAGACTATCTTGGTTGGGGTGCGCGAGACGATCATAACCAGTCGAAGAGTTTAAATGACATGGTTCCAAATCATTCGCAACAGAGTGTAGGAGAGTCCATACACTACCTTCCTCTCAAACTTATTCTTCTAAATTCCTTATGACCTTGTTTTCTCCTTTGTTTAGATCTACTTCACTGATTTATATTTCCTTGGATCATATCTTCCATCCTTAATCCTTTCCATTAACAATAATACTGCCATGTAATCAACGAAAGATACCGATTGCTAGCCATGATGTATACACTTTATCCTCAATAATCCTTCTGCAAAACAAACGTATTCTTGCCTTTCCACATGTATTTTAGTCTTCAAAACACTCTTATTATGTTAGACATCCGGACACGATACACTTCACTCCGGCAGTAACCTCAGGATGACACTCTGATGTACATCCACTGAACACTACCACGTTGTGAATAGTACACGCCACATCACTTACTACAACCTATACAACTATGAAATTTGAACTGACAATTTCATTCCTCTGTGCCAATGTGATATGGCAGCTTGAACTGATGTGCATACATAGCGATTTCAAGGTCACACAACTGGCTGACCGACAAAAACTACGTCAACAATGAAAAACCATGTTACGCAGGAAATAAAAGTTTCCTTTTCATCTTTGACAAAAAAAGTATTGATGCTTTTTAAACCTTAATTCTTAAATAATTACTATACGTACATGTTGATTAAATACCTGCCATGCCTAACAAAGACAGTAAATAAAAGGAAAACATGAGAAAGACATGCGATAAATTAATGTTCACTTACAAACACTGTGACCAAATAACACTAAATACATGTTACAATTGATTTTATTTATGCGGATCGATGCGCTTTACGCTTTACAGTGATGCCCGCTTTACCGTTCACCCACAGATAATTTTTTTTCAAGGAGAATTTTATTTCATCATTCTAATTTATTTACAAACAAATCTAATCGTAGTGATTTGTAATTAAGGAGAGTATCATATTGAACGAATGTCACAGAATTCATATACATAAACATTATAATGAATGAAAGTTACACTGAATTAAAATGTGAAAATCGAATGAACGAAAATTACATTCAATCAATATATTATTTTGCACTTGATTTCCTACTAGCAAATTGTATTTAAGGAGGGATTTTCATCTCAGTCAGTCAGCTACAATGTAGAACTTCGTACGTACATACGTACGTCAGTTCAAAATGTCCCGATTGTCAATTCAAATCCAATAGTAGGAGAGGTAGTAAAGACATAGCGGTGATGTAGAAGATTAGGGATCAAAGATATTATCCAAGAAGTATAATCCAGTGCAATAAATTCGAGATGAGATTCATGAGGGATTCATAAGATTAGAATTTGAGAGAAGATAAAGAATGGATATATCTGCACCATTGCAAACAATTATGGGCCATGTCAAAGCAGATCCTGAGGCAAAATTTTGCATTTCGACGGTTGTTAGAAGACCTCGCATTCTGTCAATATCTTCACCAAATAGAACTGTCATCTGCATATTCTGGGTAAACAAACCAATCTCCTGTTAGAAGGTCAACTCATGAAAAGTCAGATGGTGACAGTGACGTCTCTAAAAGCATGTCAGTGACAAAGTTAAATAAGAACGAAGAGAGTGGACAACCCTGACGAACACCACTTGAAGTATTCATTAACGTCGATCGTTCCCCATAAGCTCTCACTCGACCAGTGGTGTTCGATTACAGAGACCGTGCTAAGTTATTGGTACACCTCTCAATGACAGACATCGCCACGCAATCTTACGACCGACACACAAACACCGATTTAGGGTCAAGGAATACAACTACTTTTGGACGTCCGAATGTGTGACTATGTTCTAGGGCCTGACGTAGTGTGAATATGTGGTCTATACATTCAGCTAAAGCTTTGAAACCACCCTGGTTTTCTCGAGTCTGCTCTTCACAAGCTCTAGTTTTGCCTCGGAGTATTATTAAGTCAATATCTTAGACGCTATATTAGTCAAACGGATCCCTCCGTGTTTGTCACAATAGGACTTTTACCCTTACCATCAACTGTGATAAACAGTGATTGAGACCGGTTAGATGGAATCACGTCCAGTCCCAAAATCTTAACCAAGATCTCAGTCAATCTCACTACTGAAATTGGATCACCATCCTTAAAATTCTCAGGGCTCAATCTATCAGGGCCTGCTGCTCTGCCTCACCTTAATATTGCCTATAGCCTTTTCAACCTCATTAACATTTGGAGGAATTACATCAACTTGCCATTCAGGTTGACTGGAAGTCAGGGACAACTGCAGTATATTTATTTACTGAATGGAGTTAAGTAAACACATTCCTTCAAAACCATTTACGATCAAGATGAGAAATATTAGTTAACAATAATTATTTAATTAATTAAATCTCACACGTACCTTTAAATTTGGAAAAGGCAGTCTCTTTAGCTTCGATTGATTGTTGCAGTTCTTCAATTCTCACTGAAAAAGAACATATACACACATATATACATACGTAGGACAACACTTTCGATCGGTCAGTCAATATCAACATCATGCCTGTCACATATGTGCGCTGGCCAAGTTCACCATACTACACTGACACGAACAGATAAATACTAAAGGAGTCAAAATAATACAACCATACTGATATACGAATATGAATAAAGGAGTACTGGAATGATTTAATCTAAAGGACCATAAACAGTAAATCAGTCTGCGCCACTGTGATCAATTCTTAACAAACTTACTTGAAAGCCGCAATCACTGCTTCAGTTTGGAAACTCAGACTGTATCATAGTCCACACAAACTAACTAATGACTTGAGTGGTGCATATATATTATGGTGCCTACTCGTATCAATGTTTGTGTGCTTTAATTAAATAAACTTATCACTGAACTCGGTTACAGCATAGACCATCCCAACAAGACATTCTGCATCTACCAACGGGACTCAGATAAACAGCCAGTGACCTCACGAATTGATGACAAGTTTTTGATATGATTGTCTCCAGCTTTCTTCCAACTTACAATTACAGCAGCTAACATCGTTTGTCAAGGTAGTAAGTGGTTAGATGTGTATATCACAAATCTCAACCCGTTCAGTCAATCAAAAGATTCGCAACCTTGTCAAACGATTTGCCATCTTTGCCTAATACTTGATGGATAACCTCAGAATCGTCAACTCGATCGTTTAACAACACATGAACATTATTTCGAAGATATCTATGATCAAAAATCTTCAGCCTACGTATATCTACTGTTTTCATAGACTATATTTCACAACAACCGTCCTCACTGAACAAACACAAAGAAAGTATACACATATTGTAATCTCATTTATTGATACTAAAAAGCTACTACGAATACGTCGATAGTAGGATACTCACAGTCTTCTTTCTATTCCTGTTCAACACCGTACTAAGGTATGTGGCTATTGTTATATGCAAAATGGACTTTAACTATATGGCTTAAAGAAGACATCTCACCCTAGGAACAAGCTCGCAGTGTTGTTGAGTGGTTGGGGGGAGTCAGCAAAATATCCGATAACAAGGTTTCCTACTACGTGACACTCGTTATCAAGGAACATCTAAAATCTTGAACAAAGCGGTGCCCCTCCATGGGGTATGAACCAACAAATCACCTGATAAAATTCGACCAACACTGAGGACTAGTGAAACTTGAAATTATCTGTCACTCAACATAAGCTTTGTAAGGTGCTTAACACGTAGAGTGTGACATATTCGATAAAACAATGATCAATTTAAGTCCACATGAACAACAGTAATAATGTATATGGTTTATTTGGCAATTACAATTTTAATATTATCTAAAGTTGACGAACTAGACATCCTACTACATTACATTTTTGTTCACTCTGTTAAAGATGAACCCAGAAAACATGATTATGTTCTAAGTGAACCAACTAGCGACAACCAACCTCATAGGTTGAAAATGAGGAAAAAACTGTGAAGATAAACATATGAATACAGTAAGCAAGGCTTACCTTCACTTTTGTGCAAATCCGTCATCAACTTCGACCGTTCACATTCCCAGTCAGCAGTGATCGATTTTAGACGAGATTCAAAACTGGAACGAACATGTTCAACTTCTTTGGCGGAATTGCTCATCTCTCTTTCAAGCATCTCAAAAACAGCAGTTTGATCGAGAAGCACAGTAGGACTTGACTGCTTTACAGGTATTTGAGATGACATTGCTAACAGTTCGTTATACTTTATATTCAGCTCATTATATTGGTCAATAAATTTATTCAGGCTATCGCCTAAAGAAAATGTACTCAATTCCCGTATATGAGCGAACAATCCATTTTGTAAACCCCTAGCCAGTTTGCTTAACAGATGACAGAAATCTTGATCTGTTTTCACAGAACTTAGGCATGAGTTTTCAGCTAATGTTACTTTGGAAAGTTCTGAGAATTTTTCAAAATCTGAAAATATGGTCCTCAACTGTTCACTGTACGATGAAAAGGCACTAGAGGTATCAGATAGACGGCTTTTGATGCTTTTGAGATCGGAAAAAATTGTGCTACACGAAGTCGTCCCATCCTTTATCATTTCTTTGATACCATCTACGTCACCACAAACGTTTTGGAAATCACAAGCACTTAAAACACGCCCAAGATTAACAATATCTTTCTTCAGATCACTAACATCAGAAACCGTTGAACCAAGCACCACATATGGATCCTGTTCCATAGTTCTTTTAGAAATAAGAGCGATTAGGACAAAATTAAATGCTACGTTTATGTAACACAAAGAACGTTAAAATGGAGAAAACGCTACTAAGGAACTAGATATTTGTGAACAGTATGCAAGAAACAAAAAAGAATCTAATAACTAGTAGCAATGCGAATTTATCAGTGAAATATTTATGGAACGATTTAAAGATGAACAAGGTTATCTCAGGTGGTGTTAGGGGTATAAGGGTAGATTTCACCTAGTTGCACACACTGTGAAAAGTCATTTCTTCTCCATTGACCTGAAAATCAAATTGTGTTACAGTCTTAGTGACATGAACGCCAGTCAGTCAGTTACAAAGTAGAACTTGGTACGTACGTACATAAGTTCAGGTTGCCATATCATATTAGCACAGAGACGCAACTGTTAGCTCAAATCCCATAGTGGTAAAGATAGTAGAAGTATCAGCGGTAATGGAGAAAGCATAACTACAAAGCCCAAAGGACTGCTGCTTGAGGCAAATCACACTACCTTTAAGCGGAGTTTTTTGATATGTTAGCTCTATACTCAATCAACCATACTACGAGAGACGAAAATTCTTGTGGTTAGGTCAGGCGCGATATTTTTAGGCCCACCCTGCTTCAATTATCAGAAAGCAGAATCAATGTAGGTACTGGTCACCTAAAAAAACGCCTTGCCTATCAATCGATGTATTTGCCATAGTTGGACCGAAAAGAACAATTGTCCCAGTCAATATGGCTCGACTGCCATCACGATAGGCGAACCAGAACACTACATTACGGCACCATTTACGCTCGAGGAAATACTGAACAAACCTGTATTTGTCAGAAACAACTGAAATGTCAGTAATCAGGTAGACAAGGCGGCCAAGGAATCATGCTACAAGTGAATATGTTTGGGATAAATGATTCAGGATCTTTATTCTCAGCAGGTATCTGACATGTTATCAAAGTGGTCAGACAGCCCTAAAGTGGCATTCGACTCCGTCGATCGTGATGTTCCGTGGCAGCGTCTGTCATTAAAAGGTGTACCAAACAAGTACACTAACCTTATACGGGTCGAGAAATACTACTATTGTCAGATGCCTAAATGTGTGTCTGTGATCCAGGATCTGTCGTAGTGTGAATATCTGGTCTATACAGCCACGTCCAGGTCTGAAACCAGACTGGTTTTCTCTACTCTGCTCTTCACGAGCTCTAGTTAAGCGTCTAAGGATAATCGAGGCTAACAATTTAGACACTATATTAGTTAGACTTATTACCCTGTGATTGTCACAAGAGGATTTTTGTCTTTTTTCATAAATCGGGACAATCAGCGACTGAGACCAGTCAGATGGGATTACTCCCAGTTCCTAGATTCTACCTATGGTCTCAGTCAATCTAGCTGCTAAAACTGGACCATCATCCTTAAAAATCTCAGGGGCCGATTGATCAGGACCCGCTGCTCTCCCTCGCTTCAGATTCCCTACCGTTTTCTCAACTTCATAAAGAGTCGGAGGGCTTACGTCGATTTGCCTTCAGGATGACTGCAGATCGTGGGTAACCGAAGTGTAGCCGAAGGCCAATTGAACTTATCCCTAGTGTTTTGCCCATCGATCCAATATACTGGATTGAGAATCAATAATAAGACCATCCTTTTCCGAGATAGTCTCACTCACATTCGGATTCCTAATACCAGTGTCCTTGATAAGTCGGAACAACTGTCTGCTGTTGTTTATCACCGCTGCCTTTGCCATCTCTCTTGCTTCCGCCACCCACCACTGTTCACGATCATTGCGTAGGCTTTTTATCAGCCTCCGTCTAAGCTGACTTCGCTTTTCATCATGTTCAGAGCCAGGTGGGATGAGTTTACGAGCGTCTATCTGTTCAGTGGATGCTACTGAGATCCACGGCTTCGTTCTAACCCTGTGATTTACCTTGCTAGCAGATATCACTGCTGTTCCCACAGCCTTTTTATATCATTCCAAGCTGCCTCAGGGTGAGTATCACTCACTGCATGGTCGCCTACCTGTCTTCCTAGTTGCTCCTGAAATATATTCTTAGCTCTATTATCATTAAGTACATTCATCAACATCAACTTACTGCTTGTTCGATGGCTGAGTAATGAGAAGTCGTTAAAACTGGCTTTCTAAACAGCCAAGTCAGCAAATCAGCTGTGCAATGGGGTAATAAAAGTTATTAAAACAGCGAAATATAATATCTAACCGTATTGTTTCTTCGATTCTTGTTTAATCATTAAGACCAGTGACAAAAGTAGTCTCCTCAATACTTTGAGTGGAAACGCAAGTGTTTGACTAGCTTTCATTTAGAAACATTATAGTACATAACCTGTGACGAAAGTCAGCAATTGTCAGTTGCAATCATTAAATCTACGGTGAAATTCATAAGTTCATGTTTTAGGGATGCTACATGGTTACGAAGGAACTCTCAAACTCAAGGACTAAGGAGTAATAAAACGACTCAACCTCATAACCACTATCGATTACAATTCATATCAGTAAACCTCACTGCAGATGAAAATTTGATTTGGCGTAGTAAGACAAACGTTACTCAATAATTTACGCGGTACAGTGAATTTATTTTATAACTATTGCAACAGCAGATATTAGAGATTGTATTTGAAATACATACTGTAATTATATTGCAAAAAACAGTCTCTGGTGAAATATACATTCTAACTGAGATGATTGAAGATAATGATGTTAAACACCCTTTCAAACACCAGTACTGTAGAAGCACAAAATAAAAACTTTCCAGTAAGTTCAATTAAATGAGAAGACATAATGACAACTATTCATTTTTAGAGACATGGGAGACGTGTTATTCAATCTTATGAGTAATAAAAATTTATGAACTTGGCATTATCTACAGCAGACTTACAGTTTCTAGGAAAGCATGTGGATTTAAAGTCGTAAACTGCGCTTCTGATTGGAGACTGTAGCGATGACCTTCTACTTGCAAACAATCAATATCCAATCTCTCTTTTAATAGCCAGTATAAACCTAGTCTTTGCACTCGATTCTTGTTCCTCCGGCACGGTTCCAGGGGTTCGGTAGTGTCCAGTGAATGGGGGTCTAGCCACTCGACTGCCTAGTTCTAGTCACTTGGCAGTTGTTTGTGCGTTTGTATGTCCCGTGATTTGGATGAATACGTTTGTTTCAGGGCAGTAGAGTTTCTGGATACCAGCAGCTAACACATTACCAGGCCGAAGATCAGTTAGTTGCAATGTGGATAATAATAAGGAGAAAATTCTAATGCTAATATGAATAAGATTTCAGAACTAAGTAAGATATTGATAATTTGGTTTATTAATTGGTAGCGAAGATTGTGATAGAGGATCGAAGTGTAAGTAAGGGAGAAGAAACAGAGATAATAGGCGAGATAGATCAATTGAGTGATCTGAGGAGATGGCAGTGGTAACAACTAGCAGGTCTCAGGACATGCGCCAGGCACAGCTTGTCCAAGAGGGAGATGGTAATCCTTATGTGAGCATTTGATTGTCAAGTCTCTTCTTAAAGCTGTCGACTGAGGGGGCTGTGGTCACCTCGGCTCGGAAAGCATTCTAAGTTGCGACGACTCCCAATGAGAAAAGGTGTGCACAAACCTGAGTATTCGCTCTTTGATGCGCAATTTTTTGAGGATTCCCTCGAGGACAGTGGTGGTGATGTTCACGTTGGGATGGTTCGGCGAGCTTAATATGTCGTACGCCATAATCAGATCACTGATCCTCCTGTAACTCAGTAGGAATCATACCGAGTGCCCGAGTCCATCTTCGTAAGGTTTTTTCTTGAACCCTGTCACCCATTTCGTTGCTGATCTCTGCACTCTGCCCATAAGATGTAAGTCTCTTTTAAGCAGAGGGGTGCGATGACGTTGTGAACCTCCATGTGTGGGCACGTGCATCCCCTAAATAACGTTAAGAATAACTGTGGGGTAATAACGCCAAGTTGTCTTCGCATAAAGTGAAGAGTCGCATTTACCTTGGCTGCGTCCCCTATATAGTTCGGGCTTGTGTGGAGGCTTTCTGTGGTTTGTTAAACCGAGATCGTGCTCTGAGGAGACATTAGGGAGCGGAGCTCCATTGAGGATGTAAATCGTTTTCGTAATGTGGGGCAGAATGTTCATGACGTGACACTTCGGTTGGCTGAGTTTTAAACCTTTTTTCACTGCCCATTCCTCAGTAGGTGTAAGGTACTTCTGAGGCTCAGTCAAATCCTCTTCGCTTCTAATGGACCTCCAGATCTTCGCATCGTCTGCGTAGATCAATGCCAGTGAGCTAACTGAGCCTAACAGGTTGTTAATAAATATCAGAAAGAGAAGTGGACCTAAAATGGTCCCCTGTGAAACTCTAGATGTGGATACTAGCCAGCTCGCGGGCACTCTATTTACCTTTGTACGAAACTTTCTACTCTCAGGGTACTTTCTCAGCCAAGATACAAGTGGGTCAGCGAGGCCCATTTCCACAACCTTTGTGATTAGGCGTGCGTGGGGTACCGTGTCGAAGGCTGTTTCAGAGTCGAGAAATATTACATGCAACGGTATTTTCGGTTCCAGGCACGATGTTCACACAGTCACGTGCTATGTGAAGAATAGATGCGCACGACCTGCCTTTCCGGATACCGTGTTGAGCTCCATGGAGTATTTTATTCTTATCCATGTACTCCCCCATTTGTTCGTTCTCCAGCCCTTCCATTACCCTTGATAGTATTGGTAGTAATGCGACTGGTCTGTAACAGGCTGGGTCCTTCCTATCTCCTACTTTTAAGATTGAGGGGAGAGTAGCTTGTTTCCATTCAGCTGAGAGTTGGTGTGAATCCAGGGAATGCCTGAACAGGTCACATATCAGTGAACAGAGGACTTCTACACATTGTTTCAAGACTGTTTGGCGAATTTTGTCACAACCTGGTGATTTACCTGGACGTTTCCTTAGTTTCCTTAGTACTAAGTCAGGAGTGATACGGATATTCACTATGCCGTCAGATGGCACTGGATTTGTGTAGTATTCTGATTTAGCTGATCGGTAAAGTTTGTGTTGAAAATCACAGCCACCTCTAAGTTAGTGAGGTCTTCTCCATTCGGACCTTTGAGAAAACACAAACCCTGGTTCGTAGGTTTCCTTTTTATCATGAACGTACACAGATGTGTAGAGTTTGCCCATATTTGGACAACTAGCTTCATCTGAAATCGTCCTGTACCACTTCAAACTTTGGTATAGCATCTGTTTCTCAATACCAAATAAGAACAACGATCAGAATCCTCCGAGGAGACTTTCCACTTGTTTCAGACTCTGCCCTTCGCCTGTAGCAAGCGTTCAGTGCCCCGCCTAACCCATGTTCTTCCGGGTGTGTGCTTCGACTGAAATACATTGTCTACGACAGAGTTCTGGATGATGTCTCTTGCTGTAAGCTGGTGATTACTTACTGTCAGTCTCCACCACTCCCGTGGCCATGGAGCATGTAGGAGTATCTCTCTCATACGCGTATAATTTGCTCTAGTGTAGCAAAGATGGGGCTCGTTTTCGTCCTTTGTAAGTGAGAATAAATTAGTATTATTTTCAAGTGTTTCGTTTATGACTATGTTAAACAAGACATTTCCACGGTCACTACTTCCCGTTTGGTGTATGGACTTGAACATCCTCGAGCAGAAACTGAACATTTGCTGACATATAATCCAGGTTTGAGGACTTTCCTTCCCTAGTCCGTCTAGTGGCACTGCATACGTGCTCAATAATCCAAGATCTTCTAATGTCTGCGCCAGGTAGCCTCTGGAAACTATCAGTTGGAGTTGTACCCTGATTGCTGAGAGAGTATTTGATTAAGCCCAAGTCGTGGCAATCGCCATATTGCCTCAGTCAATTTGTCTTTCCGGGCCTTAGTACCTGAGGGAGGTCGGTAAATCCTTTCAAACAAGTATTTCTTGGCGTATGCGTGGAAACGACACCAACATGATTCTGTCACCTCAGTTAGTTGGGTGTCGAACAGCCTCCCGGCTTTTAAATGGCTATTGATATATTTAGCCACTCCGCCTCCTGTCTGGTGTACCCTATCGCTTCGGAAGAGAGTCATGCCTAGCAAGCTCACTTCGTCATCTGTAATGTCAGGGGAGAACCATGTTTCAGTCTGGATTATGATCTTCAGATCAATCTGAGCGCACATATTCCTGATTTCTAACAGCTAACCCCCTAGTCCTCTTACGTTGCTACAGAGGCACTTAGTGGTTTTTCTCATCACCTGGTGCACCTCTACAGCAACAGCCGCTGTCGGATTTTCAAACAAGTTGTTCAAACCGAGCTGGCCAGTTCTGTGGGAACTAGCCTCTTCAGGTCTTTTGCCTGTGCAGTGAGTTCGATCGGTGAATATATTATCTTCGTGTCTGGTGCCAGGGGTTGTTGATCGAGGTCAACCGTGAATATTGTGCATTTCTTATGGCCTTCCTGCTGTTGTCTCGCAGATCTGGGTCGGCTTTCGCAACACCTAATGTGGCTAGACAGGTCGTTCTTCGAACTGTACCAAGCTTGGAGTGCCCCATTCAGGTCTTTCAGATGTGACTTTGTGGACGTCAGATGTGACTGGAGGGGCAACCTAGAAATGCAAAGAGCCATTGTGGTGTGAAGATCTAGGCTGCGTGATAGTCATCACCACAGTCACACATCGTGCATGTGAGCTTCGTCCAAGCTACAGCCAGAGAGTTCGGGTACGCTGTGAACTACCGTGTTGGTCTGCTCTTGGACGCCTGGTGTTGTACTGGCTGTTGCTCGTACCGACCATGGTTTATAGTGCCTGATGCGAATCAGGGAGGACAATCTGACCGATGGTCTTTAGGATAATAGGAGGATGTCTTCAGCAGGTCGTGCCGAGTCCATAGTCACCCTCACTGGAGGGTGTTTCCTTTTCCAGTCATCCTGGCCTTTGAAAAGACGGCATACTTTTGCTGAGGCATTGCACATTACGAGGATTGCGCCGTATTTATCCTACTGTTCTTTGTCAAACGCAGCCCTGACTTCCAGTAAGCTACCTTCCGACATTGTGACATTAAATAAAATAAGTGAATTTAATCCATCGTCCCAGTCCTAGAATGGTAGCCGGTTGTGAGTTTTGGTGTTGCCATTCACCTTCTTCACATTCACCCACTCCTCCGTATTGTCAACAGATACTGGATGATTAACAGCAACTGGCAGTTTCGTACGTGTGTTGGTGAGGGTTTTGTCTGCCTTGATCGCCTGTTTCACTGGTTTAGTGCCGAGCGATTTCGATTTGTCCGATCGGACTTTTTAGCTGATTTTGAGTAGGGCCTGTGGCTTCGCCAACACCTCAGATACTCTACACCGCGAGCGGATATACCAAAGCCACGGACAGGGGTGACTCAACCTAAATCCATAGTACTCTTAAGGTACTGTAGTGTCATAGTGACAATGGACCCATGTACTACAGAAAACGCATTCATAAGCAGAGTCACTAATTTCGCCAGCATTGAGCAGGCAAAACAGTCGTCCTTATGAGGTTTCTGTACGACAGATTGTGTCGACGGAGACTTGGTACGCCTTTTTCTCCTATCCTTATCTTGCCTACAAGTCCTTTTAGGAATAGGATTCGGTGTAGTGATGTCTTGCTTCCGTTGTTTAAGACCTAGTGGTGTTTGAGTTGAGCTATCCGGACTATGGACACTAATCTGAGGAATGCTCTCGAGTGATGGTCTGAGATTTTTTACAATCCTGTGGCTCAAACTTGGAATTTTCGACTTACCGTTGACCCCGTGGTTCATACCTCTGCAGGTTTTCCCGAGTGTCCCAGTGCAAAATGGGCTAGCAACCTTTTTACTTAACATGACACCAGAGAGATATAGAGGCGAAAACCGAGATAATTAAGATACGAAATACACGAAATAGGGATTTTTGGAAGAAGAATTTAGTAGTATATAATATAACTACAAGTAATAGAGCCTGAAAGTACTCTA